ACGTACTGGACTACCAGTACGAAGCCAACTCTCACTGACCAAAGTGAAGGTCAGTGTCTTTCTGCCTCTATACAATATACAGAGGAAGGATAAACGATAAGGACAAAGAAAAAGGTTGTAGCAAAAGTAAAACTGCTATAAAATTTAATTAAGTTTAATATTGCTTGTTCTCTTATTTTTCCTACCTTATTGTTATTAATATAATAAACGTATGATGGCGTCTACTCACCACACATTGCGCGCGCCTAGCAGCAAATGGTGGGTTGATACAAACGCAATATCAAATAATGAGCAGACCCTTGGGTCATCTCAACAACATCACTCTATTCAGTGATATTGTAAAAATATTATTCAACATGATATTATATATTACCGTTTCCCACAATTTTAAGGACATGTAAAGGGATACCCCGTTACATGTCACCACAAGTAGATTCCTTAACTAATCAAATCGTTGCGTTTAGAGAGATGTAATGAAGAAGTCTGATACATTGTCCTCGGTTTTGACATACTTGATCGTAAAATCCTTCTTTTTGACCATCTCTGCGATCTTGCTGCTTTTCTTTGCATACTTTATCGCTGTGTCGTTGTTGCCAATGGTAAAACAGGTCTTCGATGTGCTTTGATTATCCATCTGCAACAACCGCGGTCCAATAGACCTACTTGAGCTGCTGCATGTTGTTGTTTAACGACAAGGAACAGTCTGCCCACTCCTTCAGTGCCAACGAAAATGAGAGAAAAGCCTTGTGAGTCCATAATTGAGACATCTGCGTAATTTTGTGGGGCTTCACGGGCTTTGGGTCCTTATTGTGCACGGATGTGATACCATTTTGTCCGCGATTTCTTCCTACAATGCGGACGCAAGCACCGATAATCTTATATCCATCGACACAAAAAAAGTACAGAGTATACAACAGCTCTAGTATGACGAGGCCCTAGTGGTCTCCTTCATGAGTGTCCAGGTTTGGCATGCTATATACCTCGACTTCGGCAAAGCTTCAAAAAACATATTTTTTCGCAACTTGTTATTGTAACGGGGTACGCCCTTTTCAGATGACTGGCAAGACCCTTTGTTGACTGAACACACGTTTGAGTGCTCCCGACATCACCTACACGTGGCGAGGAAGCGCAGCGAAGTAAACAGAACCCGAAAGCTCTATCTAAGGGAATAAGTAGAACCATATTTAAGTACAGTAGAACCTGTCTAAAGTAAAACTGCCTAATGAAATAACCTTCCTAAGGTAATATTCTTTTCTGGTCCCGACTTGGGACCCATATTAATGTAATAAACCTACCTAAACTGATACTCGATAGCCAAAGGCTGGTCCCAAAATGTTTTTAAAGTAATACTCACTATATTAGGGGCTTTGTTATTGAGTGCAAAGCAGTTAATGGGCCTTAGGAACGATTTTTAAAAATGGGCTTCTGCACCAGTCAGTTAGTCCTGATCTTCCTAATTTTGTCCTTCATTTGCTGGAGGCTTATAAGGAAGTCCTGGTTCAGGTCTGGCTGCTGCAACCAAAATTATTCAAGCGTCTGCGTGGCATCGAGTGCCTGAGATGACATGACACGAGGAAGCTCTCCCGTGTCATCTTCCTGTTCCTCCACTTAATCAGATCGAAGGTGCTCAGCAATGATATCATCTTGATCGGTTGTGTAAGCGACCTCCTCCTCAGCAGGGTAGTCAATAAGAACTCTGATGTCCATTGGGTTCTGGTAGCGCAACTGACGAATTTGCAATTGAAGATATTTGGTGACCTCATCGTCGACCAGCTGCTGTGCAGTAAGTTCAGGAGTTCCAAAAGCAACGGATCGGATCTTTCAATGAAGGAAGCAATTCGAAATTGTTCGGCCTTGACATCTGAGTTCCAAGCTGCAACCGCCATCCGAATGACCTGAGGAACATCAATCCTCTCCGGATCTTCCACATTTTGCTCAAAGCTGAAGGAGCAAGCGATTGAAGCGCCTGCGAGAATAGGCCTTCAAATTCCTTATTATGCCTGCGTCGCACGGCTGGAATTTTGATGTCGTTTTTGGTGGAAGGTAAAAAACCGTGGTATTGCGCAACCGGATAACTGTAGGAAGTTGAGCAAGCGGTATATGCGCACTGTAATTATCCATCATTAGAAGAACTTGGCGTCTGGCCATGCTAGCATCAATTGATTTCAGCCACTTTTTGAAGATGGCGAGTGTCATCCATGCTTTACTGTTGTTTCGGTACTTGCAGCCGATGGTGTCAAGGTTTATTTTTTAAAACAACGCGGACTTTTCGACTTTCCAATGACGAAGAGCGGCAGCTTGTCACTTCCATTTCCTTTGCAGCACACTGCCAAGGTGAAACGCTCTTTGTTTTGTTTGCGGCCTTCCAGCTGCTCGGTCGCCAGCGAATTATCTGCCTATAAATAAGTTTACGTAAGCACAAAGTGTCACAAAATGTTGCAAAACAAGACCACTTGTACCAACGAACCTGCAGCCGGTATAATAGCCCTGGTCCATTCATGATGTAGATATCTTTCCACTCGCACTTGTCCAGCGTCTCCCGGATGTCAGGAAGTGATTCCTCGATGAGTGTCATGTCAACAGAACCACTCTCTCCAAAACGTCGAAAGGACTTGATTCCATGCCGGTCTTTAAATGATTCCAGCCAGCCATTCTAGAACTCGAACACATCATGCTCAGGGTAGAGGTAATCAAGAAAAAGGACTGCATTCTCTTTGATAAGATACCCACTAACGTTGACGCTATCATGATGGCTAAGGAACCACTCAACGAGAGCAGATTCCACATGAGGATACTTAACATTTCTTTGACGTTTTGCGTCAAGATTGCTGTTGTCGGCCTTCGCCAAGATTGTCGCTTTCCTCTTAAGAAAGGCCTGAGATTGTAGGCTGACTGACTTTCACCTTGTGCCTCTGTTCTAGCCACTGGATAAGGTCCTTTTGGCTGAGCTGAGGATTCTTATCATGGTACTTACACAAAGCAATGCGGATCTTGTCCGCCATTGTCGTGTACTGAGCGCCTTTTGGAGGCATATTGGAGGGAGAAAAGTTGGGGGGACGACGGGGGACTCCCTGTTTATATAGGTGAGGGGATTGACTGGGCATAAAAATAAAAAGCTACGAATTGGTATGTTTTTTAAAAAAACCTTCTTATAAATCAATTTTATATCCGGTGGCGGCTGCAGCAAGAATCAAAAATGTAAACGAAGCCGATCGCAATATTTTTCCCACTTCAATAATCCTTGAATTTTCAGTCCCTGCCTAAATTAACAACCTCCGTAAAGTAACATCATGGGCTCGATTTCAACGATATTACTTTAGACAGGTTCTCCTGTAGTGTCGATATTATCAACTTTGACACATCCGTGGCTCGTAGGGGCGACTTCTGATGCTGTCCAGGCGTTTACATAAGAAAGACCGCTACGTTAAATGCGCTTTGTCAATTTAACCCATATTTGCCAGACTTTTAGTGTTGGTGGTAAGATGCAAACACACCGAGATGGTCCTGAACAATACTTGACTGGCTTCTGTTGCTTTTCATCCAATTTAGGTTCGTGCATGCGCGCTCTCATTAGATTACTAACGGATGAGTCAGCAGACAACCTGTTTGTGATCGAGCTGTACCGCGTTTCTACAGACATCTGAAGCGATCAATGCTTTTCTTCATTTACTGATTCACTGGCCAGGCAAATCACGTGTCCACCTCAATCACAGATAAGTCCAAAGTGTTGTGACGGGTCCTACTATCTGCGTTTGCCTGTGTCGTCGTTGGCATCATCGCGATCCCCATACCTCGTAGATATATCCATACCTTGCTAATATCGACTTGACCACTGACGTAGTTTGGCAGTCAATATGTAATGGACATACACCCCTCGAAGCTCGAGAACCAGACGACCGTGCAAGACGAGTCACAGCAGCTTGACGAAGATTCACGCACACTCCGCGTAGCCGCATTCTCCGTTCGACTTCAGCAGAAGGTGGTCTCAACACAAGGTCTTGAGACCACAGCACTTGCCATCCGCGGCAACTTGAGTAGTGACATCTGAAGAGCCACTCATGACCGATACGCACATCGCCCCCAGCCACCAATGCATCGTATAAACGGTCTTGATAAGTAACGAAAAGTCATTGCTGCGTTGCGAATGTCTTGGCGCTCTTGAGGTGTGCAATATGATGAGCTCTCTGTTGTCGGTCAGTGATTCGTATCTTCTTTCGCCCGGCTGGTCCGAGTGGTGCCGAGAGACGCTCATGCAAAGCACAAGCACAGCTCTCTCTTGTGTGCCTCGGTCCTTTCATCTACTGGTGATTCAGTGAGTGCTTACCACATCCGAACGACCGAGCCATCAGATTTCGTCTTGCTGAACGTGCACGTTTACAGGCGCCTTCCACCACCACTGTATCAGCAGACTATCAATGTGGTCATGTAGCTCATCCAACCGAGTGACTAGTCGAGAAGCCCATTGAGCACTTTCACACCAAGAAAAGTGTAAAATGAGTGACTGTTCGAGGTGTAAATGCAGAATTGGAATCACCCCGACGTGTCGTTCTGCCCGCACCTCCTCGAAACCTTAAACCGAGCGCTGACCTCTTTGCGCTTGCTATGCCTGTCTTCTTCCCTCTTCCACACAGCGTTGTCTGAGCCCTACTAGTAGCTGCCGACAAGTCTGTTGTTTCGGATATATGGCCGAAGATGGTTCAGGCCCTCGTTCAAGGACTCGTAAATTTACCAATGCACGTAGTTTCTCACCGAGTCAGGTCAATTCTTGCCATAGCTTTACCGTACTATCCTCGTGGTAGTAGGAGCTCGGCTTGTTCAAGCAGGCAAGTTAGACTAGAGCCTGACAAAACGCACTGATCTTCCGCTTTGTGGCAGTCTACCTCGCAAAGAACCGGGATGTGACGGCAGATCCATCATTGCCAACGCTCACACACAACCAACCACAAACAAGCTCAGTAAGCTAATTGCACGATACATTTTACGGTAACCAGATCGCTCTGCTACGGTCTCTTTTCCGCTTGAAGAGCTCCACAACCATTGCTAGCCAACGTATCTGTTGCCGCTTGATGGCTTGCCTGGAGACTAGTGGGAACTGCATCGATGCAGGTTCGAATTGGTTGAAGACTGTCGCTGCTTCCTGCCATGGCGGGGGTCAAAAAGTATTCGGAGATGCCGCTAGCACTGGCCCGCGTATCACGTCGTGTCGTCGATCTTGTTGTCGTCGTTGTCGTTGCCGTCTTCGCCTTGGCAGCAACGTTGGTGTGTATCGAATGGCGAGTCACTTGAGCCGAAGACGCCGTTACCTCATGACTCGCTTCCAGCGCTTCAGCCGGATGAAGGCGTGAGCTCACGGCGCTGGACACGCGAACGCCCGAACCAGCAGTGACTTCCATTCTTGTCGAATGCGATGATATCTTCGTTTGCTTTCCCGAGGCGTCGGCGCTAGCAGCAGTAGCGGACGAGGTCACCACTCTTTTCTTTTGTTGAGCTGCCGAGGCCGTGGCGCGGAGACTCGCGACGGTATTGTCTGGACCGGTGCCCGTCGGTGCACTCTTTTTCGTGCCATCCGACGAGCAGACCATCGACGAACTCGGTGCGCTCGAGTTGCGAAACTGCAGAAGCTGCTGCAGATAGAGCACAATGCCGAGAGCACTGGGCCGCTTTTCCGGGTCTGTCCGAAGACACCGCGCCGCGAGCTCTAAGATTGCAGGTGGGCAGTCGTCCGAGAAACTCGGGCGCTTGGCCCCACGTGCGACTTGACGGAGGATCTCGCGCTCCTGTGCTTTGCCTTGAGGCGGGTGCTTGGCGTTCCAGTACGGGTAGTCCTCCGTGTCGATTTCAGAGAGCACGACGCCAAACGAGTAAATGTCAGCGCGCTCGTCGTAGTCCTGACCAAGCAGCACCTCGGGCGCGATCCAGAAGGACGTGCCAATGCCTGCGGTCATGGGCTTGCGGCCATCGCCGGAGCTGCGTGTCCGGGCGATGCCAAAGTCGCTCAGCTTGGCTTCCATGTCGGCATTCAGCATCACGTTCTTTGCTTTGAGGTCGCGATGGATCACCGTCGGCGTCAATCCGTGCAAGTACGTCAACGCTTCTGCAATGTGCAAGGCGATGTTCACCTTGTACGTGCTCCAGGTGAGCCGATAGCCCCGACGCTTGAACCGCCGCGTGACGTCGCGCAGGTCGCCGCGCTCCATGAGTTCGGTCACCGCAGATAGCTCTGCAGGCGTCGTCCAGCAAGCACCAACGAACTCGACAATGCGCGGATGGCTCAGGCTCGAGAGCAGCGAGATCTCGCGCACAAACTGCTGGACTTGTTCGCACCCGACCTCGCGCTCACTGCGGATCTTCTTGACGGCGACCTGCCGTCCTCGGTAGCTCCCCACAAAGACCAGACCGAACCCACCGCGACTGATGCAGCGACCGAGCTGCAACTCGCTGGACTCGAGCCGACACGACGCCAGGACTGTGTCGTTTGCAAGGAGCCTGTCCATCGCAGCAGTGTCTTCGCTCTCGATGCTGTTGCCATGCGGTTGTCCGTACCCGGGGTACACCTGAGCTGCAATGGTCGCAACACCAGCCGTAGCAGCAATAGCAGCAGCACCGATAGCTGGCGCAGCAATCTCAACGACGCTGTCCCGATTGAGGGCATCGTCGAAAGCGATGCTCAAGTCGCACTGTGGTGTCGTCGGCTCAATGGCAATCGGTGACACGAAGGGGCTGCTGCTCCTTTCACGACTGTAGCGACGTCGCTTCCAGACCACGAGCAACAGCACAAACAGCACAGCAATCGCACCCGCTACGAACCAGTACCCGAGTGCCCCAAGAATGTCGTAGTCGTCGTGGCTCGCTGAGCCTGCAGGTGTTTGCGATGCATCGGGTGCCGCGGCGGTGGACGCACGGAGGACGCAGAAGGCTGTACCGTGTGCCGACTGCCTCGTGCCGTTGGCACAAGAGGTCGACACTGTTGCCGGTGGGTCTGCCGTGAACGCTGTGAGCGCTCGGATCTGGTCGAACTCGTGCTGGTTCACGTTAAAGGTCTGGATGTTGTTGCCGTGGAGGTAGAGCGCTTCGAGAGCATTCGAGCCGAGTGCGGTCACGGGGAACGCGGCCAGTGCGTTGTAAGACAAGTTGAGCTCCTTGAGCGCAGGTCCACCGACGAACGAGTACGTGCTGAGGGTGTTCGAAGACAGATCGAGCTGCTCGAGTCCGTCCCACGTGCGCGTGAAGCTGCTGCCGAGGGTCGAGATGTTGCAGTGGCGCAACGCGAGACTCGTGACTGTCGCAGGCACAAAGTCGGACGTGGTCGCAGCTACTGTGTGCAAGTTCACGTTCGTGAGCGAGAGCGTCGTGAGGTGCACCTCCGACTTGTTGCCCTTCGACCGCACGAGCTTCAACACAGGACTTGACAACGTGCGGCCCCGGCGGTGATCCTCCACGAACGTCAGCAGAGCCGAAGACTCGTCCGAGCTGTCGATCTTGAGCGTCTCGAGACGCGAAGACACCCACATGGGTCGAATCGTGGTGACCTTCAGCTTGTCCGAAGCCGATTGCGTCAGTGGACGCGTTGCTCCGTGCGAAGTCGAGTTCCACGACTCGGAGGTGACGTCAAAGACCCAGGAAGCTGCAGTCGCGCTGTACCCTGTCAAGCACGTGCAAGAGGCATTGAGGGCCGTGAGCTCGTCCGGACACCCGCCATTCGGCGTCTCTGCACTCGACTGCGTGATCAGTGCCGGTTGACCGTTGCACACCTGGTGGAACGCACTTGATGAAGAGTTCTTGGCGCCTACGATAAGCTGCGTTTCGTTCTCACGCGCGATGCTGTCGTACCAGCGTTTCAATGCAATCGACGACCGCGAAGAGCTGCGGGAGGCAGAAGACGAGAGCGTCTGTGCTTCGCTCGGAGCACCGCTCGAAAAGCCTTTGGACGACGCAGTCGTGAAAAACGGAGTCGAGCTGCCGATGGCTCTACTGGCAGCTTTGCCATTGCCAGTCGACGCGATCGACTCCATTGACGATGTTGGTCCACCAGTGACACTGCTTTCGCGCTCTTCAGTCCCGGACGCAACGGCAGGTGCAGTGTCCTGAGATGCAGTCGTGGCTTCAGAATTGGGGTAGCTGCTCGTCGACTGGTCCGTCGTTGTCGTGCCGGATGCTGCAGCTGTGTTGCCGTTCGTGGAGGTCCCCGAAGACGCTGGCGAGCGGACCGGAAGGTCTCTCGGTGTGCTGCCGCCCATACGTGCGGAGCTTACCAACGGCTCTTGCACTGGTTGTACGGCCGAAGACGGTGTTGGAACTGAGCTGCTTGACATTCCAGCAGCACTGACTGGACTGGGTACCTCTCGAGACGCAGTAGCAGCAGCAGCAGCTGAGTTTCCAACCGAGTTGGGCGAATTGATTGAGCGATTGACCGACCCGTTCGTGTCGGAAGGCGTGTTGGACGTCACTGTCGATGCGCCCGCACCAGCGCCTCCAGCGACGGTTGCACTCATGCTGCTGTTCACGCCACTATCACTTGTGACTGCCGTCACTGATGGTAAGCTGCGCCCAAGTTGCACTGCCGAAGCACTTGTGCTAGAGACATCGCCAGCGTCTTCGTCCGTGAACCGGTTGGTCGAGTCGGTTGACCTGCTACCGGTTGCGGCATTCGCAGCTGTGTCGTCGATAGCTCTCGACGTGCGAGTTGACGCTCTGGTCGAGTGTGTCGTGACCCCTTTTCCGTTCGACGGAGTGCTCTTCTTGGACGTCACCCAAGCGGATGTGGATGGAGGTGTCGCCTCAACCACTGCGGAGGTATCACCTGTACCAGTGGTCATTTGTATCGAGCTACCGGAAGACGGACGTGCGTCTTGCAGCGATCCCATTGCAACAACAACAACAACAACAACAGTAGCAACAGTGATAGGAAACTTGTGCGAGGAGGACTTGAGCAGGTAATGGACTGCGTTGTTCGACGACGTGAAATGAAGTTGTGATGTTTCCGCTGCGCTTCATGCGGTGGTGCGGCCATGACCCGTGTCGGTGAAGCCAGCAGCTCAAGACAGGCGGACGCGCAGGGCGTGTCTGTCTATGGCAAAGCTCCCTGCAGAGCCCCACGCGCGAGTCCTATAGGGACTTGAAAGGGACGGTGCAGTGCCCTTCGTAACGATACGCGCAGCCCACCGAGCGAGGCGGCCGTACTGTCGACAACGCACCGCAATGGCTCTCGGTCAATGCAATGCAACGAACACCGGTCAGGTGGTCCCTTTGCTATGCTCTGCCCGCACGCGTTTCGTGTCGGAGCTCTCGGGGCGAGCGCTCTTCGGTGGTATGTGGCCAGCGCTCGAGCTCCAAGTGACACGTTGGGCGACTTGCTGTCACGTTGTTGTTGTTGTTGTTGCCCCCTGCCATGAGCTCGTACCGTTTCCAGACCTCTTGTTGCAGTCGACGAGCTCCTTATGGGGGGTCTAGTGGGGAAGGACGACGAGACCAGTTACGGTGGCACAGGTCGTTGTCGTCAGCTGGAGAGGTCGGTCACGTCTTTCTTGCTACCAGCTCAGGTGATTCATTTCAGTCCGTCATTAGCCACAACGTCAACTACCGACCACGACTGCGCTTGTGCAATCGCTCTCGTGTCTATTGTCGTCAAAGCGCGACGAAGCTCGACCGTCGATCGATGCCGTCGGCTTTCCCTACGTGAGCCACTTGACGTAACGAGCAGCTCCAAAGTGCCGTGAGAGCTGCGGTTCTAGTAGTTGTAGGACGCGGTTTGCAACCAGTTGGTACCTCTCGAGAGAAGTCGCGCACGACTGCAACGTGGTAACGGCACGTCCGTCTAGAAAGTAGTACAATAGGAAACCTATTGTCACGACCGTAAGAAAGTAGCGACGATGCACTTGCGAATCGGACGCCCAACCCACGAGTGTTTGACCGACGGCACGTTCGTGAATGGATCCCAAAGGTCAAGAAAAACTACGAAACATAGTGTCAATTTTCCATTTTGGTCGCTTCTAGCCTCACCCGACTGGGCTCACCGCAAGCCCGTGTCTCGTGACGAAATAATAGTAATCTGCTGTCACTCCACTCCGTTTATCTAGAATATAGTACGACGCCCCCGCCTGTCAAAAGCACCATCGCTTGTTCATCGGCACGCTGTCATTCAATAGGACCAATGATGCAAACGGGAGGCCTCGAGGAGCGCAAGAAGGCGCTCGAGAAAAAGTTCGTCGAGAAGCGGCCGCCGCTGGCCTACGCCAAACTCAGTGGCCGCGTCTTGGACGACACGCCGTTCGAAAAGCTCGTGACGCACTTGCCAGCGGAGCTGGGCCGCGGTCCGCTGTCGTCGCTGCCTGACCACCGCATTGCATTGGGGGAACAAAAGGCCATCTCGCGTCTGCACGCGCGTATCCAGTGGAACCAGAGCGAGAGCTGTTTCGAGATGCAGTGTCTCGGCAAGAACGGCATGTTCGCGGGCGGCAAGTTCGTGGCCAAGAACCAGACGGTCAAGCTCAGCTCCAAGATGCCGCTCAAGATTGGCCACGCGCGGATCTATTTCCTCTGCGCCATTCGCTCGACGATCAGCACCATGAGCGGCTTTAAGATCATCCAAAAAGTAGGAAGATGGGAAGTTGGTGGTGGTAGTGGTGTGCATGTCGGCTGTCGTTCGATACAAGGAGTAGTACCGACCATAGTAGTAGTAATGGCTGTGGTGGTAGTAGTCGTAGTGGTAGTAGTGGTAGCGCTCTGTTTTTCTGATGGTTCTATTTCTGGTGGATTCTTGTTTTGTAGGCGTTCGAGAAAGCAAAATATCACAAAGGCGTGACGACGATGACGGCCGATCAAGTGTGTGACCAGATCCTGGCGAGCTACGCCAAAAGTGAGCACGAACTGGGCGGAAAAGACCACTTGCGTGCATTTGTCACGTAAGGCTTTTTCAACTGCCGCGATGGGTGTTGGGCAAAACGGGCATTGAGCTGAGCGCGTTTTCTTTCGTGTGGTGTCGTGTGCGAATATGGCTTAACTGCAGCGCGTACTTACAGGAGGACACAAGTTCGTTCGAGCGTGTTGAAGACAGTACGTGCCCCGTTCCGAGCTACAAACTGAAACGGGTGGTAGCTGTCAGTGAACCGAAAAGGAGTGGGGCAGTGGACTCGGCGTCCACGCCAGAAGAGACCAGTGGGGCTGCACTGAAGAAGCAGAAGATTGCTGTGTCTAAGTAATGGAGTTGGGCTAATTGCAGCAACACGCGGAATGTTTGATCACGTGGTACTTGATGGAGTTGACAATGATGCGGGAACGAGTATGTTACAACGGAGCACTTATACAATCTAAAATAAGTCTGGTGATGCCGAGCCCATGGTCTTCTTCATCCGAGGCGACATGGCACTCTACTCGTTGTCGTCCGAGAGAAATCCAGCCGTGACGATTTCGTCAGGTTCGGGCTCCGAGTGAGGACCGTCGAACAGCACGACGCGGATGAGCTCTTTGATCGTAAGCACAACTTCCGAGGCGCTCGGTCGGTTCTCGGGTCTCCCTTCCAGGCAACTAGCAGCTAATGACAGGACGCCGGCAGGGCAGTCGTTGTAAAACGTCGGACGCAACGAGCCCAGCGCTACTTTCTCCAATATCTTCTGCTCCTGCACACGCCGTTCATCAGGAATGCCGTGCCCGGGAACGGTTCCAGAGTTCCAGTACGGATAATCGTCCGTGTCAAGCTCCGAGAGCACGACGCCAAAGGAGAAAATGTCTGCGTGCTCGTCGTAGTCTTTGCCAAGCAACACCTCGGGCGCAATCCAAAAGGACGTACCAACGCCTGGAGTCATGAATTTGCCAAGACCACCTTTGGCGCCAACTACTTGCCGCTCCCGTGAGACGCCAAAGTCACTGAGCTTAGCCTCGTACTCGTCGTTGAGGAGCACGTTCTTGGACTTGAGATCGCGGTGAATTACCTTGGGACTTAGCGAGTGCATGTACGCCAGACCCTCGGCGATGTGGAGTGCAATGGTCAGCTTGAGACCGCGCCAAGTGAGTCCATCGTCCGCCTGGCTTCCGTGGCGCTTGAGCGCGTGAAGTACATCTCGCAAATCGCCACGCTCCATGTACTCTGTGACGGCGCTCAAGTTGCGCAGCGAGTCCCATGCGACACCGATGAACTCGACAATGCGCTCGTGCTTTAGGGACCCCATGAGTGCGATTTCGCGAATGAACATGCGAATTTGCGAAAGCTTTTCGCACTTTTCGCGCATGATCCGTTTGATGGCCACGCGTCGTTGCTTGTACATGCCAATGTACACGAGCCCGAAGCCGCCTTTGCTGATGCAGCGACCGACTTTCACTTCGTTGTAATTGAGCCGAAACGACATGATCAGCGGGTCGTTCAGGATGCCTGCATGCAACGTCGGATGCAGCGAGTTGTACACCGCCTGCGATGCACTGGCCTCCATCCTGCCTGGCGTCAAGACGTCATCCGCACCAGGCGACGCCGATACAAGTTTGGTATGACGCTTCCGTTGGCATCGGGAAAAGGTCGTAGCGAGGAAGAAGATCAGGAGACCCACAAGACACCCGCCGAATGCCGCAATCACCATAAAGATCTTCCAGTTCATGCTCTTGTCTTCGCTGCCTTGAGCGACGGCAATTTCCGTGATCGGAAGACTGCTGGTACTGTTCACAACGCAAAATCGCGCGTTGTGCTTGACTTGCCAGTGACCACGTTCACATTCGTTTGCACTGCCGCCAGTCTCCACTTGATCGTCGATGCGAAAGACTGAAAGGTGTGCAATCACGGCAAGTTCATCGCTCGTGACTGTCAGGTTTGCGATGGCGTTGCCACTCAGATCCCTGGTCAATGCAACGGAAGAAGTGAGCCAAGTGGTCGTGCTTCGATGAACCGCACAAGTCAGTACGTACAGCATCTTCAGATTGGGGAACCGAAGCAGATGAGCAGGAAACTCGGTGAAGCTGTTGTTTGCCAGATTTCTGCTCATTCGACAACAACATCGGTTAGTACGTGCGTGGAGCAAGCAGCTTGGGAAGAACCAGCGTGTACTCACATGTCGGTCATTGCGTGCAATGCCTCGACCGATCGCGGCAGTTGGGTATAAATACTAAATAGGTTGTTGGCCGCTAGGTTCCTGCAAACGAGACCCGAGATACAGACAAGCGTCAGAAGAAGCTCCAGCACGCAAGATGTCCGTCGTACGCAGCTGTCGTACAATGACTCGAGGGCCGCAAAACTCTCGAGAAACGGATGACTGAGACTGCTGAGGTTGCAGTGGCGCATTGATCTGCGAGTGAGTGCAAGCAATCGAGTGGATGAGAACGAGAGCGATCGCACGAGCAGCGATTCCGGTCGGAGTACGTACAGCTTTGTCAGCGTCGTGGGCACAAAGCCAACGTCGATAGCGACATCGGAGAAGTCGAGGTTCTGGAGATCACTGTGGTGCAGCATCAAAGTTAGTGCGTGATCGACACAGAGCTTGGGAACGGATGATCTGTACGTACACTTTCGTCAGAGCGGACACCTCCTGCGAGCGAACGATCGACAAAGTGCTGTCGGCGGTCGTCGCTTTTGCCAAGTGCACGGGGACAAGACGGCTGCTTGCTCCTTGTATTGTACTGAGCATTCGCCATACAAGAGACATCACGTGAGTCAAGAAGTCAAGGGATTCGAGACCGTGTGGGGGACTGCATTCGACTTACAGGGACCGCAACTCGGCGGGAACGTCCAGCAGCATCAACGAGTTCACTTGCACGATAGTGTCCATGTCCAGTGTCGTGGGGAACGGTGCAGCTGGATCCGAGTCAGGAGCACGAATGCGAAACGTCCATTGCGTTTGGTTGGCAAAGCCCGAGAGGCACGAGCACGAGAGGTTATAGCGGCTTTGAGCCGGCAAGCACGCGCCGTTGGCAGGGACCGTCATGGACTTGAGGAACACCACTGGGTCGCCATTGCAGACGCTCTCCATGAGCAGCGAATCGTCGATGACCGTCAGGCGTTGTTCGTCTTTGTCCATCGTTGACGCATACCCCCGAGCAATGTACGCAGCAGTCTCACCTGCTTCTTCATCGGCAACGGTGGCACTGTAACTTGAGCTGCTCGTGGAGTTCGAGCTGTCCTGTTGTGCTACGGCATAAGTAGCGCTGGCAACCCCAAGCACCGCCGCAACGAGACGAAGGACATTGTACTGGCGGGAGGTCATGACTGACTGGGGTTGTACCGAACGAAGCGGTTGGAAATATGTGACGGAGAGATGGCCTGCCGCTTGCTATCTGTCGGTTCGTTCGTTGGTTCGTTGGTGCTCGCTGGAAGACTGGAGCCACTCGACACGGAGCTACTTGACGTCAGCCTTGCGCAAGAGCCCGACAAAGTGAATGAATGATCGACTTGTCGCGGCGTGAATTTGTCCTCCAGCGCGGCCCTCGTCGCTGCCGTTACATGCGAAGGCGGCATTAGTGCCCAAAGTTTGAACTTTCTTCCCCGAGTCGGACGGGCCACTTCCGTCACCCGGCGGTCAAGACCACTGGACGCTTTGCCTCATTCGTTGCTGCCGTCACGACGAGAGAAAGACCCGAAGTTGACAAGTACGCGCCAAAGGGCACGCAAGGAACTCGTTCGAGCGGCCGGTCGCAAAGCGGACAAGTGCTGGCAACAGACTCACACACACACACACATGTCTCGATTTAGGACCGATTGGGCCACGTGAATGGGCTCCTCTGGAGAAGCCGAATGTGGTTTCATGCAACATCGGGGCACGTGACTACCGTGGCGAAGCAGGTGGATGTAGCAAGGGGACCTCCAAGTCGACAGCAACGAGGCGATCGATCGGTTCATGAGAGAAGTAGGAGGACTGGTTTAAGTGCAGAGCTTGTGACGAGAAGAGAGGTGGAGGAGGGAGGAGAGCGAGATATCGATTCGCAGCACATACAGTCAGTCCGTTGATGTCGGCTGTGCATTTTTGTTAGTGGCGTGAGAAACATGCAGCGCCCAACGTTCTCGAGCTGCCTCGCAGGTCGTTGCGATTGCTTCGGATCGATAGAGACACACAGACAGACAGATAGACAGACAGATAGACGGACAGACAGACAGAGGGATCGATTTCTTGATAAACCATTCGTCCTCGTCAAGGGCCGTAAAGCCAAAGACGTGACTTACGAAGTCGTTCTTCGCGTCTGGAAATGTGGCGCTATTCTGTGCCCTACTGCATTGGGGCTCGGGAATTCGCTTCGGTACGCAGGAGCAGGTTCGAGGGTCGTGCACGATGAGGACAGGTGGTCGCGCCAGTGTATCTTCTATTGGACGGAAGACGCTCCACGAACGTTCGGCCGGTGCGATGCCATTCGCGGGAAACAAAGTGCCCGCTGGGACGTTCGTTACCCAAATGGAACACAGACGGACGGACGGACGGACGTGCGTGAGTACTACTACGTCCTGCAAAGACAGACGCCGCCGACCTTACAACGGTACTGAAGACAGGGCGAGTGCTTTGCAACGGGTGACAAAGCCGCAGCTCCACCAACGCTTTGGACCGTTCGATGCCGACTGACTTTGGTCGACTTCTACTTGAGAGCTCGTCGGACGTTGCGCTTTGACTGCCTAATGCACTTGACGTGGTAGCAAACATGTCGTGAGCTCTGCTCAATACAGTGGATGTGGACTTTTCATTCGAGCGAGTCGGGTGTTGTGGACATTCGGGTAGTCGTACACGTCTGCAAAGTGATGTGATCGCCGCATTTTGAACGCGTCTTCTGTATACCTCTGTACAGGTGAGAGGCACTTTACAGTGTCTCCACTGCGTTGTTAATGGTGACGTTATTTAGTCTGCAGTTGATTCCTCTTCCGATCGATGTATCTTCCTACAGCTTCCACCGCGGTAGTGTCTGCAGATCCTCAATGACGAACAGCACATTGACGAGCAGCGACGTCAAGGCAGTAGTGCATTGGGATTACCAATTTGCCAGGAGTTAGGAGGAACGATAGGTGACCAAGTTCGGCCGCTTCTCGTGCCATGCGGTCGCTGCAGTACGCAGCTCATTGGATCGCGTGGAGTCAGGTCCCCGATTGTGGACAGAGAGAGGGAGGGGATGTCGAGTCCCTGTCGAAGTAACATCGACGACATTATGATCGAACATCTCCGGCAATCGACTTGCAAGCGAGCGCGAAGCTTCCACATGACGATTGCTTACTCTCACACGCACACACAACTACGTGCTGAAAGATGGTGAGCAAACACACCGACTTCATTGTCGTTGAATTAGGAGTCGTACCAGAGCTCTGACCTCAATCTGTCGTCTGACCGCAGTGGCAAATTCGTGCCACAACAGCCCATCTCGCGGCAGTGAAGTTAAACACAATCAACGCGGGCCCACCCGATGACTCCTTTTGTCGCCAATCCAGCGGTAGACTTCGGACTCGCGACTAGAAGAGGAAAAACCGCTGCGCTAGTGGCAGCGTCATCGCTGGTTCGCAAGTCAGCAGTTCCCCATCCGCGTGCACTTTGAACGACTCCGGGTCGACCTTTATCTTGGGCACCGCGTCATTCAGCTTCATATCCTTCTTCGTGACGCCCCGGCAGCGACGGACAGGTTCAATGCGCTTCTTGAGTCCATACGACTGCGCAATGTTCTTGTCCACGCAACTCTTGCTGACAAAAGCGATCGAGCCCGAGCCCACAGCATCGCCCATGGCACCAAACATTAGCCGCATTTTCACGGGTTGGGGCGTCGGGATCGACGCATTCGGGTCCCCCATTTGAGCGCAAGCGATCATCCCGCCTTTGATCACGATCTCGGGCTTCGTGCCAAAGAAGCACGGCCGCCACAAGCACAGGTCGGCGAGTTTGTTCACTTCCACCGATCCAATCAGGTGGGACATACCATGAGCAATCGCGGGGTTGATCGTGTACTTGGCAACGTACCGCCGGACACGAAAGTTGTCACACTTGTGGTCGGACGCTGCGTCTTCGGGCAAAAGACCACGCTCCTTCTTCATCTTGTCGGCGGTTTGCCACGTGCGAGTGACCACTTCGCCAATGCGTCCCATCGCCTGCGAGTCCGACGAGATAATACTGATTGCGCCCATGTCCTGCAGCAGGTCTTCAGCAGCAATGGTCTCGCCGCGGATCCGCGACTCTGCAAACGCCACGTCTTCGGCAATGTTCTTGTTCAAGTGATGACAGACCATCAGCATGTCCACGTGCTCATCGATAGTGTTACGAGTGTATGGACGCGTTGGGTTCGTCGACGACGGAAGCACGTTGGGTTCACCACACACAGTGATGATATCGGGAGCGTGGCCTCCGCCAGCGCCTTCACTGTGATACGTGTGAATCGTTCGGCCTTTGAACGCTGCGATCGTGTGCTCGACGCAAGAAGACTCGTTCAGCGTGTCGGTGTGGATCGTCACTTGAACGTCATTGTCCTCGGCAACACTGAGGCAGGTATCAATGGCGGCCGGGGTCGTCCCCCAATCTTCATGCAGCTTCATGCCAACTGCGCCCGCATCAATTGCATCTTGCAGACCCTCTGGAAGCGCAGTGTTGCCCTTGGACGTCAGACCGATGTTCATCGGGACAACGTCTGTCGCCTGGAGCATCAGCTTGATATGGTTCGGACCGGGTGTGCACGTCGTAGCCTTTGTCCCGCTCGTTGGACCGACTCCTCCACCGAGCAGCGTGGTCAAGCCACTCGCAAGTGCTTCGGTGCAGAGCTGAGGGCAGATGAAGTGTACGTGGGCGTCAAAGCCTCCTGCAGTAAGAATCAGACCTTCGCCCCCGATCACTTCCGTGTTCACGCCGACGACCAGGTCGGGCATCACGCCGTCCATGACGTCTGGGTTGCCTCCTTTGCCAATGCCCACAATGAGTCCGTTCGTGATCCCAACGTCGGCCTTGTAGATACCCGTGTAGTCCACAATCAAAGCGTTGGTGATGATCGTCTCCACGACTTGATCGGACGTCCTGCCAGACGCCTGACCCATACCTTCCCGAAGCACCTTACCGCCTCCAAACTTGCACTCGTCTCCGTACACTGTCAAATCCTTTTCCACCGCCACGTACAGCTCCATGTCACCAAGACGCACCACGTCTCCTGTCGTCGGACCATATATCTGCGCGTACACACTTCTGGGCATCGTACAGATTCCAAAGTCAGGTTGGGTCGTGCACGCAGGCAGCTGACTCACATCCAGTGGCTTGTGGTGGAAGCCTTTGGCGAGTGCATCTGCAACAATAGCGTCCACTTTGGACTCGTCCACGACGCCCGATGCGACGTTATTGCCACCCGTGATCACCTTCGCCCCCGCAATCGAGACGATCGAAACCGTCTTCTGGTCCCCCGGTTCAAAGCGCACCGCCGTGCCCGATGCAATGTTCAAGCGGTAACCGTACGCGAGTTTCCGATCCATCTCGAGATACGGATTGGTCTCAATGAGATGGTAGTGACTACCGACTTGAATCGGTCGGTCCGACAAGTTGGTGATCTGCAGCACGCGCTTCTCGCGGCCTTCATTCAGCACGATGTCCGTGTCCCGGGTAATGATCGCTCCGAGCGCCTTCGTCGGCTCGGCAGTCGAAGGACCAAAGACTTCCAGCGCCGGCACAGGTAGAAACGACCCGTACAGCGCAAGCGACAGGTCGCCATCTAAACTGGCAATGGGATTGTGGACCGTCACGAGCTTCGTGCCGTCCGGGAACGTGCCTTCCACTTGCACTTCGTCCAGGATCGACGCCACGCCGTCCATCACTTGGCGTCTACGAGCATCGCACAGAGTTTTGGAGTGTACAGAGGCAGAGAGACAGAGAGACAGAGAGACAGAGAGACAGTGAGTGGTGCATCTCGAGGTATGCCCTCGCTACAGGCAGCAAAAACCAAAGCAGTAGGAGGAACGTACTTGCCGAGCAACTGCGCGCCGAGGGTCATGAGTTCGGCCACTGTTTTGCCGTCTCGGATGAACTCGAGCACTTGCGTGGCCAGTAAGGCAACGGCTTCGGCGTAGTTGAGGCGCAGGCCCCGTGCCAAGCGCTTTTGCGCCAGCAAACCGGCAGTGTGCAGCATCAAGTGCTCTTCTTCCCGCGGACTCAGATGCATTGTTGCGGACGGCGATGCCAAACGCGAAGTGCGCTCCTTGACGTCCACCAAAGTTTCGGGCAGTGACGTGCGCACCCCACGACCTCAAGCCAATCATCAACCAACACGCACTCTGATGATACACACACACACAGACCGAGTGTAGTTTTCGTGACCGGGCGATCCGCTGCAGTCACTTTCGGCAAAGAGACCGCGTGGCCCGTCCCGCGCCATTCTCACACGATTAGTCTCTTCTGCGGGCGCACGCCAGTCAAGCGATTCGCAGCACGTGACTTGACTTGCGTCGGGGCAGGTGAGGGAACGATCCACTCCGTCCCTTCCACGCCGTTCGATCCCATGAAGCGCGCGGTCGAAAAAGTATCTTAGCTCAACGTCAGCTCCATGTCGGATCTGCGCTCCGACCGCACCGGTCCGTCTGAGTGTATCGTCCACATCCCACCTCCGCGCAGCAGCGTGTACGTTGGAACGCCCGACGCAACCTACGGCAGTGGACGACGGCTATGCTACTGGCGTCGCCTCTTTCTCGATTGGATCGGCGTTGGCAGACGCCTACGACTGATCTATGGAGCTAAGGGGCCGTGTCGTTCGGGTTGGGCTGCTTACATTCGGGAGTGGTCGTTTACGCTCATCCCCGAGACCGGAGATACGCATGGAGAATAGCAAACAAAGCCATCAATGCCTCTAGTCGTACGGCGATGCTCGGGGTGCCGTTCACCTTCACAGACGTCAGCTCTCCTTGCCATTGCAATCCCAATGGAACGACATAGCAGATATGTGGCCACGAGCAGCGGCGCATGGTGTCTTATCCCAGACATGGAAGGCGCACCGAGTCGCCATCACGCAGCTGAGTTGTTGTCATGCAGAGCGTCCCACTGGCAGAAGGTACTGTGTCCTTCCGACGTCTCATGAGGTGACCTCCGACCTTCGCGGCACTTCTTATCGGGAACATCGTTCGAAGGCGCGTGGGTGGTGGGTGGGGCACGTTTCCCAGTCGCTGGACGGGAACTACAGAGACCCTCCACGTACAGCGGTTTCCGGCCGCTTTGTCAACTGTGCAACCCGTAGAGTTCCGGCAATACCGACACCCGCGCGGGCTCGACTGGTTGCACGATTTCAAGACGATGTCGAGGTGAAGGGCACGGGTTTGAAAAACGATCTGGTTCGTTCATGAGCTCAATTGGTACCATGCGTGTGTGGTGTGGGTGAAGCGACGCTGTGTTTCGAGGCGTACAGGCCACGACGTCTCAAAGCGACTACCGCTTCTGCATTTGACGGGATTACGGCAACTCAGTGCGTTGGCCAAGCGTGGAGATAATGGCACCGATCCCGTAGTTCAAGGTGCTCGTCTACACGCCCGTCATCGATCATCGCGACGACTTACGACCACTAGCGGACTGCCATGAACCGCTGCCGCAACCGGCACTGCATACCTGGCTTAGAAGAGAGAGAACCAGAGCGGCGACTAAGTGCTGATGCCTATACGATATCCGTGTGCCTCCACCAGGATTCTCTTCTCCGCTACTTAGTCTGCTGGCCTGAGTCGTCGAGCGTCAAGGGCGACACTCCGCAGAGGGCACGTGGATCGAGTCTCCTCCTTGTCAGGATGCAGACAGGCCGCTGAGAGCGCGAAGACCGCTGGCTACCACTCCGATCCTTTCCGAAGGGCCGCTGACGCACCTGAACAGGTCCGATCAAATCACGTTCGAGCCAAGTTCTCTCGGTGAAACTGGGAATCATGCGCGGCGACCAGGCTCGACGACTTCGAGGCTAGCGTAGAATAGCAGGAACTAGAAGGTGGGGAAGGTGTCAACTGCTGGCGCCGTGCCCCTCACCCCGGGGTGTCGAGGTCGATGCTTTCCTTTCGGTTTGCACCCAGCGACAAGAAGGTCTTTCCTGTTGTTCCTAGTTCCTACTATTGCTGAGAGAGACCCCATCTGGATACCCGCTGATGATAAGCTTGTCGTCAGGGGCAACACCTCCACTACTCACCTATCTGTGCTGCAGCCAGTTCTACCGCATGTCGAAATTCTCGACAGCCCGGTCTGCGTCCGACGCGTCTCACGGCTGTCGTGTCTAGCAGACAAAAGCCTTTCTTGGCTGTAGTGACTTGCACGCGATTGCTCATTTGATGGCGATGCAAATGCATTCACTTGGCGGCTGGACGTCTCCGAGTCGGCGCTGGTTCGTTTCGCTTGCGATCGCCCTCTCAAATGTGACTCAGTACGGAAAGAAGAGTCGTCTTGAATCCGTAAATGAAAAAGACGTGGACAGTGTGAAGCTTTCGTGGTCGCGAGTCTGCTACTGCGACATTAGTGGATCGACCATATACTTTCGACAACACGTTGTGTCTCTGTCACGGCTCGCTTCTAACGGCAAGACATGTGCCCGCTCATGTCCAGTGGTGACAGCTCCTCGACCTGGACACAAGTCTTCTGCTACGTAGAACGATTTATCCGTTTCTTGGTCGTTCTACGCAACGACAAGCGCCACGACTACCTGTAGCGTCGATCAACACAAGCTGCAGGTCATGTATAAGATTAGGTTGAGATGGCGATCTTCGGATATGCTCGGAATGCACCGCGATAGAGGACAACGTATCGCCGAGATACTGCTCATGCATTGTGATCAATCGGCGTCGATAGCAATGGTGTGCTGCGTGTCATACGATCGAAGAAAACGCCGTGCATTGACATGCAACTCGTTTTCGTGTGCTGCTTGGCTGACGACTTCAACTAGAGAAAGACGGAACCTGTACATGCAGCGGAGTGGTTTGTGGGCAGTACATCTCGATCGCACAGCTTCAGTGTACGGGCAAGCGCTCACTTGCGCCGTCCATATTGCGATACACAACAGAAATGATAGCGTTCCCGCAGTCGCGCGCGATGTTGTCAATGTTATATTGTAGTGCAGTATCTCAAAGAGGAACATGTACACGACCAGCGCTGCAACGTGTAACAGCTATTTTCCAATAGACGCAAAGTCCACGAGTCAACTATCAATGGCCGGCAACAATCGACATCAGTCCGGTGCGAAGTGTGTCAATTGCTGCGGCACTGTCTCGAATAAAGTGTGACGTTGACAACGGCCAAAGTCATTTGATCGCTGACGAAGGTCCACGTGTATACACAGCGACCGACATTGTCCTCTCGTCAATGTCCAACGCAACGACGAACAAAAGCGCACACGCGTTTGTGGTACAAGTGTGCATGAGTCCAGTTTCTATGAGCAAAGTCAACTCCGTCGTTACGCCGCACGATGGTGATTCTTGCCTTATGGCTTACGGTCGGCCTTGACGGATCCTCTTGTATTCTTCCGTGGATGGAAGTCGATTCGAAGTCATGTGGGTGTAACGAACAAAGCGTGACGACTGGAGCGCACGTAAGAAGGCCTTCTGACAGATATACATGGCTTTGAGGCTTCTTGTATGGTCACATAACATTGTGCCTTGTCAGCACCATCGCGTGCAGTCCTCATCTTGCAAGGCACTGCAAGTTGGCTGATCCTGAATGTCTGCTCGAGATAGATGCTTACAAAGTGTCGCATGTTCCAATGCAGTGAACGAGTTCCGCGTTGTCGTCTCACACGGAATGTGCCCCAACAGGATGTAGGTGGGTGAAAGACGACGGACCTGAAAAGACTGAGGTATCTGCTCTGGCCACGACCGTCAGTCACCTTTCGATCACAAGTCCGGCATAAGTGACCTGACGATGGCCGGCAACGATCGAACAAAAGCAAGCAGTGATGATGCAGCGTCTGTTGTCTGTCACTCATCATACCATCGGCTTTCGGTCATGCAATTGACGTTCCGTGTCATGGACGACTAACAATGGACTGACGATGTGGTAGCGAGGCATCGATGGAGAATCGGTGACGAAAGCGAACCTCGGCAGAGCTACGAAAAAAAGGCACGAGCAGTGGAGTAGCATCCATGTCACGGCGTTTAGTGAGAGACTGGTCGTCCATCTTGTGCATACTCTTGTTCCTATACTCTACAGATAGCGACAAAGCGGTTTGCACAAGAAAGCGTTGACAAAAGTCCGTCTTCTTGGGATTCTCGCGTGGCCCAAGGACACCTCACCAGGCTCGAGGATCCATTGATCTGATTCAGACAGATCGAAAGTGTTGACCCCCGAGGTGAACCGAAATGCATTACGAGAGACTTTTGCGGGTGTGCATACCGTATATAATGTGGACCACACTAGTCACGGTCATGGCTACAGAACTTCACTCAGCACGTAGCTCGCTGGTTAGCTGTGCAAAAGAAGACAAGGGCAGAACTTGACCCGCCTGGAGACATACCTGGCTGACGACACCCCTCGTGTACCTCATCATGACACCCCTCACTAGGTACATACGCTAGTACAATATCTCTCTATCGACCCATCCATCCATCCATCTATCTATCTATCTATCTATCTATCTATCTATCTATCTATCTATCTATCTATCTATCTTCTCTTGATCAATTTGCTGTCCGACTTATCCGCGCGTTCTTTTACATGCTGCTGTATGTACAGGAAACTCGAAGAAACGCAGGAAGATATCGTCCGCGTGCGTGACGAAATGCTCGATGCCTTGCACGCTTTCTACTCGTCGTCTTCGGCGATTTCGATGGGCGAAGCTGTCAGGATTGCGGCTGCGTGGAGTGCTGATGCTTCCCGCGCGACGCCTGTTGTCGAAGGAGACGCCACTGAAGATTCGGTCATACCGACAAAAGTGCGGCAGCTAAATGCTGCGCTACTGGCTGCTATCAACCGCTTACAGCTGGATAACAGCAGTGACATGGCTCCCGAAGCTCAGTTTGTAATGTCGTGGATGCATCGTGAACGTCTTGAAAAGCAAGTGCAGGAGTTACGACGTAGGTTGGCTTCGATTGAGCGACTCACGGAGATCGACCGACGACTCCGAAGCGTTAACGAAGCGATCGAGCACGAGTGCTTTGCTGTAGCAGCTGAAGCAATTGTGGAAGTAGAGAAGATGGTGCAAGAGATTACAGAGACGGAAGAGGGAGCAGATGGCGAGGGCAGCGACCTCAAAATTGTCCGAGCTGCAAAGCAACAGGTGCTGAGGCAGAAAGACCGGCTGCTGGACCAGTTGACAACTTTCTTCCGCCGGATGGTGACGTGGCACAACAGCGTACTACATGTTACCACGGAGTTGTCGGCAAATGGGTTGGAAACGACAACGAAGACGGTCGAGGAACGACAAAGAGACTACTGGAAAGCGTGCAAAGTACTGGGCATCCTGGTACCGAGGTTACAGGACATTGCGAAAGACGTCTCTTTCCATCTGATCAAACCAATACTGCAGACGCCTCTGGGAAACGCGAAAAGCACACGGGATGATAGCAGTGCGATGCTGGAAATCGTGGCACCGATTGTAAATGACGAGGATGCATTGATGAAAAGCGAGCTAGTTGATGTACAAGAAAAGTGTGCCAGCGTTGTCAAAGTGCTTCAGTTTCTGCACGCAGAGCTTTTTGCGGGCACCACCGAGATGATGAGTCAGTTTGGAGACTTTATGTGGAAGATCCCGGGTAACCTCGAGGCCCAGCTCATGAATATGCTGCAAGGTAAAATCCCGCACGAAGTTACTGCGCTCGACGCATACCGCGAAGGCTTGATGACAGCTGTAAGTATGTCGCACCCGTTTTTGTGATCTTCGTCGTAGCGTGCTAACTAGCGTGCTGTTCATGATAGCTTGCAAGCCTGGAAACTAATTTGGTGGCCATTGGCTTCTCAGCTTGCAGCAATAGCCAGCTGCGAGGTCTAGTCGACGAGCTCAACCAGTGCGTTGCATTGACTTTGCTTTACTTGATGGCGTGGTTATTGATGCTGTCTTGCTGTGCCTGTGTGCAGACTGCACGCTACGAAACGCCGACAAGTCATCTTGAGCTCTGGGCGCGCCTTGATGAGCCGAGCGTATCACGATTCAGCTGTGACCAAGGAAGGACCTGATACAGGGAGCCTTATTGCACCCATGCGATGTGAGAAGAACGACAAAGAAAGCGGAGGAAAGGGTGCCGTGTCGAGCTCGGACGCGGTGGAAAGCCGTTGTTTCCAGGCTCCTGCTTGCCGTGTAAGTATCTGCGCTCACGAGGTAGTAGAGTTGGTGCACCAGACCCTCAATGAGGCATGCACTTCTGGTGAAGCGAGTGCGAAGGTGCTCTACCAGACAGCACGGGACTTGTTCTTCTTGTTCCGAACAGTTGTACCCACGCTGTACAGTGATGCCATTGCAAACGACCCCCAAACTTGCATGTTGTACCACAACGACTGTATCTATGTCGCGTATCACATGCTAGTCATTGGACAGCGCTACAACCGTCGGTAGGTCAGACACAGCTGTTGCAGTGCTGAGTCCGTTGCTGACTCGCTTACGTTGTTGCAGGCTCCCAGCTTCTCTCAATCGAACTGCGACAATGGTGGACATGGTCCCTGCGTTCCGAGAAGACGGGGAACGAGCATTGTCTGCATACACCACGCATCGAATCAACGAGATCATGTCTGCGATGAAACAGCTACCGGTACGAGAGCAAGCACAGTATCTTTCAGTGATTAATTGGTCTAACTTGTCAACCGTTGCAGTCGTTTAGCACTCTCGATTCAGAGGTTGATGCCAAGTCCGTGGAGGACTGTCTGAAGAGCGCACTTGACAAGCTGAAGGAGATGAGTTCTTTCTGGAGCGAAGGGTTGCCCCGATCAGTTTACGAGAAGACCATGTCACGTATGCTCGAGCCGCTCGTACAGCACTTCGTCGATGGTGTGCTCACTCAGACGGTTGGTGCTTTTCTTTTGCGTTCGGCTTGCAGTAGTCCTCCTGTTGATGCTTTTCCGTGTACGACTTCATCTTTCCAGACGTCCGTTTCAGACAAAGCTGGAGCTCATCTTCACCACCTCTTGTCGCTGCTCGTAGAAGTGCGATGTGTGTCGATTGTATCTGCCGTGAATCGAAGGGACTGATCCTACGTTGATGCTGCGATTGTGCAGACTCAAACGTTCGTTACGGCGCCGGGTCAAGCTGGAAAATGTGTACCCAGTTTCGGAAGGCTGTCAAAGCTCCGAGCGATGTTGGTACGACGTGTCCGCTTGTTTCATCCTTTACGCGTCGTGAATGTGTCAGCTGATGTTGCGATGTACTTTGCAGATGGATCCGCTCGCAGCAGTTCGCGACAAATTTGACAGCGGCTCTCTCGACGTGTTTTCTCCGAAGGAGTTGGCTAGTCTCGTGAGGTACGTACGTACCTTGTGTGCACGTCATCTTCCCGATGTGTACCAAGCGTTGCTGCACTCGTGCTAACAGTCAGGACTTTCCTTACTCATCATCAATGGCATGTATTTATTCCAACATGTAGTTCTCTCTTCCGTGAGTCTCCTGAGCAGTATGAGTTCGTGCAGAAGCTGCTCATGCTTGAGACCGAGTGAATATGAACCCCGTGCAGACAGTGTCAACTTTTGTTGCCGTTCACACCCCGTTCGCGCCTCTTGTCACACGGTTAGTGTCTGCCTGTCTGGTTCGCTGCTGCTACTATATCCATTGTTTGTAGCGGAAATAGAACTGCAGCGCAGCCGCAATGGCAATGGCGAGGATCCAAAAGAGAGCGTAGCCATAACGCTCGTGAAGTTCAGGCATGTCGTCAAAGTTCATGCCGTAGACGCCCGTGAGAAACTGTCCAGGCAGAAATACGGTCGTGACCACAGTGAGTGTGTAGATGACGTAGTTCATCTGAGTGGTCTTGGCGTCACGGTAGTCTTCCGTGAGCTGGCGGCACATCTGGAGCTGCTGTTCAATATCGTCAAGTACCTGAACCACGTGATCGTGTACGTCGCGGACGTAGGCAGTCACAGTGGCATCAAAGTCTTTGCTTTCGATGATGCTTTTCAGCACCTCCCGAGCAGGTTTGAGGAATCGAGGAAGTCCAAAGAGCTCGTTCTTCAGCAGCCGCAGCGACCGTAACTCGAAGCGATGTCGCTGTTGATTGAGCTGGTTCTCGAGCTCGATGAGGCACTCGGTGATCGAGTCAACGACACTTGTTACCTGGTCCACGATCACATCGAGCACCGAGTACACGAGGAAGTTGGCGTTGTTGTGTCGTAGCTTCGAGTACGGTACGGCCAGCCGGCGATTGAGTTCGGCCCAGATATCACTGCCGCCTTCGTTCTTGACTGTAATGACGGTATCGTTGTTGATGATGAAGACAAACACGTGCTCGACGCAGAGCTTCAGTGGGTTCTCGTCCTCCTCCTCCTCCTCGGTGTCGACGGGCGCCATGCTCATGATGCGGTAAAGCGATCCTCGCTTCTCCTTGACAAAAGACGGCAAGGGCGTTCCCCGCGTGTCCGAGTACAGACGACTGCGCTTTCGTTCTAGCAAAGGTCCCTTGTCCGACGCCACGCGCATTCCCAGTACCGGAAACACAATGAACAAGTGGCCATCGTAGCGATCGAACTTGGGTCGTTCATGGCCTTCAATCGTGTCTTCAATCGCCAGCGGATGCAGTCGGTACTTGATCGCGAGGCGCTTGAGGTTCAAGCTATCTCGGCCTTTCAAGTTGATCCACCGCACGTTCACCCACTCGGGGCGGTGTGCTGTAAAGAACTCGTGCAAGTTCTTTTGTCGCAAGACAAAGCTCTGCAGCCTCGTGCTCGAAAAGTCCGACACGGACAACGCGGCTTCGTGCTGCCCCTCCATTGAGCTCACTTCGGGCACAGTGCCCTCGTCAAACATGTGCATGAGCTTCAGGCGATGCACTGCCGCGTCGAATTGCAAGAGCGTGATCCGGCCGCGCTGTTCCTTGTCAATGCTCTCGACCAGCTGAGCAAACACAGCGTTGTCGAGGCACCGGATCCCGAGCGTCTTGAGCGCAGCACGGAATCCCTCGTAGCTCAGCTCGCCATCGCCTTCGGTCCCCGACCCTTCGAACGCCACACGCAGTCGCGACGGCGTCACGTCAAAGTACGGCTCGAGCATATTGAGCTCATCGTTGGTCTGCAGCGTCTCGTGCAGCGGCTGGTCCGCGTAGTGGTTGTACGCGCCGTCTGCACTGCCGTACGTCGGACGTGCCGAGGGGCACGCGAGGACCGAGATCTTGTCCACGTTCAGCTCGAGCTCTGTCTTCTGGAGACTGTCCCGGGCAGTGCCTACGCTGTCGCTAGCAGCCGTCCGCGAAGACGGACTCGGCGCGCCAGTTGGACGGCCAGCAGACGCCTCGGGCCGTAACAAGGGCGTGTCTTCGTCCGTCGTACGCGCCTCCATCCGTCCACAATGATCCACGAAGCTCCTTCTGCCTCTTCAAAGACGTTCGTGGCTTCCTAAGCTGCGACGGTTGACACGAGAGTGAGTCAGAGAGATCCCGTCAGATCAGCTCCGAGTGCTCGAGTCACTTGGTTTCGCTATGCCGTCCGGCCCTTTGTGGCGTCGCTCTGGCCGACGGTGTTCACGAGTCGACAACGCTACTGCTGCTGCTGCTGCTGCTGGTACTTGGCGTCCGCTGTGTCTCCCGCAGCCAGTGGCATCGCCAGTCGCTGCCCTCGTCCCCGTCGGCGGCGTTGTCGTTGTCACTAAAGCCAAACTCGTCCGAGAACGCGCTGCTCGCTTCGCGCGCCGAGAAGCCGCTGCGCGACGTGGCCGGCGACAGCCATTTCAAACGACACGTTGGGCGTTCGGTCGCTGCATTGGCCACCGCGAGCGCCAGCAGCGGCTCCCAGCGGTCGTACGTGGCCACAGTCGGTGCACAGAGGCGAAGGCGTTTGCGTCGGGGGCCGTACACGAGGCCGAAGCGCCGGCGCCGCACGTCGTGGGCCGACACGGGCAGCATCTCGACGGGAAACTGACGGCCGCGTGCGCTCAGTTCGATCTCCAAGTCGCGACGAAAGGGTCGGGACCGGTGGATGGACAGCACGGGCACTTCTCGACTGGGGGCGCAGTCGACGAGCTCGCGCTTGAGCACGATCCGGAGCGTCACGTGGAGCCTACACACAGCAGTGCAACAGCACCACAAGGAACAGCAGAGAGAGAGAGAGGAGAGAGGAACGTCAGCAATAGCGCTTTGGAACGAGCAAACGCGCAGTGTGTGTGTGTGTGCGTGTGCTGTACCAGAACAAGTGACCCGACTGCAGCTGCATTGACGTCTCGAGTGTCGTCCACCGGAGCGTCGTCGCGGGTGTCTCCATATGGGACAACGCAGTCGAATCGGTCTCTCGAGTCGAGAAGTGACGTGCAATGCACTAAGTGAGTGAGTGACTGAGTGACTGACTGTCCGACACCACGTTACTGCTGGACGAGCACTGGATGGGCAGGTGAGCAGCGGCGCTGTCGTAAGTGGATCATCTCACACGTCTGCACACGTCTGCACACGTACACGTACACGTGCAGACAGACAGACAGACAGACAGACAGACAGACAGACAGACAGACAGACAGACAGACAGACAGAGAGGCGTCGAGGACCTGCTCAGGTGCGATTCGCTGGTGGCCATTGGGTGTCCCACTGGTCGACATCCGAATCGAAGTGGCGAGCGGAAAAAAGAACGAGTGCCGGCAGTAAACGCACTGCGTTGTCACTAGAGATACCACTGCGCGACGGCGTGTGTCGTTGACATGGACACACTCGAAGCAAAGGTGCGACGACAGAAAGTAGTACTTGCGCGACGGTCACTACTACTACTACTCTACTACTACTACTACTACTACTCTGCTACTACTACTACTATTTAGACGTGAGCATGATTGCTGGTTTTTGATTTTTTTGTTTCTTTTGTTTTTACCTACTGAGCATGCGGAACCTGCTGTCAACTTCTAAAAGCTGCATACCGTCTCTGAATTGCATACGTTTTTTTTCATCATTGTTTCAACAGAGCAGTGTGAGTTCCATTTGGTCAGACACAGATCTTGACAAACCAAAACGCAGTACATGCAGGTGACCGTGACGTCCGTAGATGGCGACCGAGTCGCTCAGGTCCGCGTCGAGGCCACGCAGTTGCTCAACTCGGTGGCCACACAGCTTCAGCATCAGGTGCGCTCGCGTCTCTTTGTCTTTGTGTCCCTCGAGTGAGTCACCAGCTCACGCGCTCTCGACTTCTTCCGTGTACTAACACGTACGTCTGCGTATCGAACGCCTCTGCACACGCAGTTTCAGATCCCTGCAGCCAGTCAAGTGCTGCTGCTGAATGGCCACGTCTTACGTGGCGAGCAAACGGTAGAGAAGAGGTACACGACAAAGTGTCTGCAGGAGAATCACTTACTTTTTGTGGTACGCTTTTGTTCGTCTGCTTGCAATAGTTTGAGCAGGCGGGAGTGAAACATGACGACCTGCTGGTGATCACGGCCGCTCCCTCCACTGTACCTGCTCCTGCTATCGCAGCGAGCGCCACAGCTCGTCCGGGCATGAAGATGCACGAGATTCCGGTACGGTATGCACTCTCTCTTTCGTGCGGTGTAAAGATGGAGTCAAGATGGCTCATTGTGTACGGTCGATCAGAGAAACGCTTCGCCGGAAGTTCTGCTTGACATCATGGACAAAAACCCGCAGCTTTTGATCGAGGTGCGATGGAAAGAGTGGGTGTTTTGCTGGGCTGTGGATGTCGTGCACAGCCTGATCATTGTGGTGTATTTTTCGTTGCTATAGTTGCAGCACACTGACCCTAAGCTCGCGACAGCACTTCAGACCAAGAGCGTGTCGGTACGTGGACTTCGGACAACACGAGTATTGGAGTGCAACTGCACTTGACGACCGTGTTTGTGTAGACAGTACGCATGGCGTTGATGCAAATGCACATGGCAGCTGCATCACGAACGTTTGAGGAACAACAAGAGATCGAAGCTTTGGATCTCAACCCGCTGGACGCCAATGCACAAGCGAAAATTGCCGAGCGTATTCGGTTGTCGAATGTCCAGAAGAACATGGAGATCGCTATCGAGGAGATGCCCGAAGCATTTGCGCGTGTCACCATGCTGTACATACCGTGCACAGTGAACGGGACGCAAGTGAAGGCGTTTGTCGATTCTGGAGCACAGTCGACTATCATGTCGTCGGTACGTCCGACTGCAATGTCTATGACGATGAAACAACGTGACGCGATATGGAACGGCTGTTTTGTCTAGAGTTGCGCTGAGCGGTGCGGCATCATGCGTCTTGTCGACAGACGTTTTGCTGGCCAGGTACAAGGAATACCATTCATTCTTTCGTGCAGAAAAGGAAAATGAATGCCTGCGCAGACTCAACGGCAGCTTCTTTGTTGATGCAGGCTGTTGGTGTCGGCACGGCTACAATCATTGGCAGAGTCCACATGGCCGCACTCAACATTGGCGGCGAGTTTTACAACTGCAGCTTCACGATCCTGGATCAACAGGGCGTCGATTTTCTGTTTGGACTTGACATGCTCAAGCGGCATCAGGTTTGCTATTGCATTCTTGCATAACTGTCGATACCTTCTAGCCAACAGCTGTCTCATCCGTGTCTATTGTTGTGCTCTCTTACTCTAGTGTTGCATTGATCTTGGCAAGAACGTTCTACGTCTCCACGAAAGCGACCGCTTCCACGAAGTTCCGTTTTTGCCCGAACATGTACGTCGCGTCCACTTCTTTCGTATCACGGCTACTGGACGCAACCTGTTCACACTATCGGTCGGTACACTTGTTGCAGGAAATCCCGTCGTCGCAAAACCGAGCCGATTTCACGCAACCTCCCGCGGCCGCTGGCAGTATCTCGATCCCGCCTTCTACTCCAAGCGCTGCCCCAACTTCTGCGCAAGCTGCTGCTTCCCCAAAACCGTCGACTGGCGATCAAAACGACCAAGCGAAAGTCGATCAGCTGGTGGCATTGGGCTTTCCGATGCAGCAGGTACGGTTTAGTTCAGAGCTCTTTGTCTGTGCATGATACTTTTGTGCGTGCATGTATTATTTCCGCTTCTTGCTGACATCTGCGACGTGTATTGACTCTGTTCTACTAAGGCACGTCAAGCTTTGCAGACTTGCAATGGCAACGTCGAAATGGCTGCCGGGTTGTTGTTCGAGAGCATGCAAGGCTAGTGCATTGCAATCAATCACGGCGCACCACACTTGCTCCATCTACTCGCAGCTACCTCCGAAGTTGTTCGGCTGGACCACTACGAGATCCTAGAGCTCAGACCCGTAGCAAAGAAGCGCTGAGAGGGTAATGACAAGAGGAAGTCGTTTCGTTCCAATTCGAGCGCAGGGAGACGACATTATGGAACGAATACTTCTCCGAATTACTCGTAAAGCACTTTGATCGGATGACTAACGAGTAAATACTTCTTCGCATGGCTGTTACAGTACTTCCGTCTGTTACAATGCAGCGAAATCGTCTCAGAATGGCTTTCATAGTACTCCCATCTCTTCACAATCGAACGGATGCGTCTCAGAATGGCCTTTATAGCGCTTTTATTGATCGCGATTTTGTATTATTTATGTGGTGCCTTGTTTAATTATCAAACCTCTCATTGCATTTTTATAGCTTAGTATTCTGACGGACCTAAATATCGTCATCTTGTGTTGCTCATTTTCGCGGTTTTAAGTGCAGCTCAGACCCCGTAAATAAGAACGCACTATGATATGTTTGATGCAGCAGCACTAAATGTGTTTGCAGTGTATGCTTTTGCTTCAACAACTTCGTCTTGACGACTATGTACAAAAGTTGCGACATACTAAGATGAAGCTAAGGTGACAGCTCGGATACATGTTTTGTCAGCAATCGAATCGCGGAAGCAGCGCATGACACACAAAGAGTATGACGAGGCCGGCAAGAGGAGTGAGAATGGTAGCAAAGCGTGATCGATCTGGTGGGTTAAGCTCCAGGAGCATGGAGTACAATAGGATACAAGGACGATCAGTGACACCACGCGCGGCTGCTGGATGAGTGTAGTCTACACAACGAAAGTAAGTATGCATCATAGCATCTATCGGTACGAGCTTGTGAGCAAAACAAGTTATTCCTGATTGTGCAGAAGATGCAAAAGCCATTGATCGGGACGGCATTGAATATCTTGCTGCATCGCATTGATGAGCATATGATGACTACGCTTGGCGTACGCTGCAATAACCAAGATAGGTCACGCTTATTAGAAAATGGTCTGTATCCCACAAAGAGACAAACGTTGACACGGGAAATATAGATGCATGGCCCGGTTTAACAATGGTCGTGCATCTTCTTGACATACTAAACACACTTGACTAGATGATCATGTAAGAAATCTCGGCTGATCTACATCATCAGTGTGGGAATAACGTAAGCTAGCAAACAATTCTGATAGATGGAAGAAGGGGACCATATGTTAGGGGGACGTCGACTTCTTCAGATAATGACTATGTTACTCCGTTCACAAGGAGCTCAGGTTTCTCTATCCTTGCCAAATGCAGCGCGTCTTCTACTGATCATCAATATGCCGTCTCATGTCAATGAATGTCACGAGCGTTCGCCGGCCAACAATGTGACATCGAACTTGCATTCCGGTCTCACGACCCTACAGCACGAGTGATGATGTTGCTGATCGTGTACTCATCATTCTTACATGAACTCAATCTCAAATCAGGGCCTACAGCAGTACCCGGCCCGTAGAATACTTACTGCCAGGCATTTATCTTGTTTGATATCAATACATGGCACAGCAGTCATCTCTTTGCGAACTTCGATCGAAATGATCGAAACGTGAGATCTGAATCTCGCCCTGCATACAAGTAATCCAGTCCAGAGAAATAAATTGAGTTATCGGTATATTTTTCCGTATCCGGATGATTAGATTGGTAATTTGGGGGCAATATATTGTAGTGCGTTGCAAGGTGCTCTAATCATAGTGTGGCTGGGGTTGTCGTATCACGCAGCAATTCGTTGCCTCTAAAAGTTGTTGAGGAGAAGGATAGCTAAGCGGCTTGACACTGGCTGGTCTTGATGAAGGACAAAATGTAGTAGAAGCGTCTGCCGACAAGCGAGTAGAGAGACACTGACTTGATAATTCGTTAGGTGTCAAAGACAATGAATCGTCAAACATGCCTTGTATACATAACGATGCTCTATCATTTGCGACACAGTAGAGGTAAGCGACTTTGTCATCTGCGTGTGATGGCAAATTGCGTAGATCTTGTGTCCCAGTAAAGTCCTAAAGGACTATGGTTGACGGAAGCGGAAGGAGACGAAGTTTGCGGTCGTGATTGGAATTTGAGAAAAGTAAATGGGTATGACGATCCGAAGAGAAACGAGTTGAGACAGTATTGAGGTGTAGACAGAAGACCAGAAATTTACCCCGTACTTTGCGATCGACTGGGCGTGATCGTGGAAGATGCTACGTATCGAGATCACCAAGGACGGGACTTATGCGAACACGGGTTGTAGATATTGAGAGTATGTAAGCACCATGTGACACGGATCAGCTGCAGAGATCTCGAATATGGCAGAAGTGCTGGGGACAAAAAGATGCGTTAAGTTGACGTGTGGCCGATCGCGCGATCAGCCTAGGAGATCTACCGATTCGAAGTCGCGTGACATTTATGTGGATCACGGAACGATGTACACTACGTTATAGACGTCTAGCACACAATTAGGAGCCATACACTTTGATCGCGACTGCGATTGCCACTTACAATTGGCATCCCACCTGGACATGTGTCGATTGGAGACTACATGGTTTGAGTGTGTAATCTTAGTTTATGGGTGATACAAGGCTAATATCTGATCACGAGATACGCATAGGCATTGTCGTAATTGCATTTGGTCGGAAAACATCAGTCAAAGTTCAATCGACCCTAGAGTGCATACGCGTCGTTCTATTATTGATACGATTATGCAGTAACTTGGCGTCATAAAATAGTAGTTGCACAAACAAAGATTACTCCTGGATTGTTTGACCTGGAAGGCAAGGGCTACAACGACAAAATGTAACTGCTACCGAACGCAGGAATCGTACTAATTCAGATATAGGATCTCGATATGAATAAAGTGACCAGGAAACAAGCAGATCGAGTATCAACTTTATACAAGACGATCTTATGGAAGATAAGGTCAACTCGTAAAGGTCCCTTGTTGGTACACGCTTTCGGATGAGATTGTCTCACCCGATCGACAGTAATTTCTAACACAACCAATTTCCAACACCATCAAGTCCATCGAAGAAGAGTGCGACCCGCCCTGCTGACGGGCACGCAGTGTGAGGAAGGCATCGCACATAGTAACGATGTAATCCTCTCCGACAGTTGGTCGTCTAAGACCAGTGGAGAATCGGATCGCATCAGTAGTTTTGTGATTCCCACTCCACCGCATTTAACGACTGTATTCTTTTCTTACGATACATTATCTTCATCATTTTCATGATAAAAAGGTCAGATAGAATGATCGTGCCTTCTACATTTTCCTCGTGCGTATGCCCACGTAAAAGGGTCCACAAGTCTCTTCCATGCAGCCCTACCATATAAAGTTAACCAATTTGACGAGATTCGCAGTATATATGATGTGTTCCGCCTCTGCCTGTTTAATTGCAGTCTACTTATTCGCGTGTATGCGCGTAGGCATCACTATGGATATATTGAGCTCTTGTAGCAACTTATACAGACCAAGCAGCTTGCACCCCACGAATGTTGCCGACGTAAAATTGGTCATTAGAGTGGACAACAAAGATCGCACCCTTTTCTTACATGTACATAAATCTACAGCTCCAGTGAGCGTGATTAAATCCCTTGCTGAAGAAGCGGATATGCTTATATCATTATAGAATTTGGATACATGAAACCTAGCGACGATACGACACGTGAAATCACCTAGATCTCTCTGTTGATTTAGAATCGTAACGTGTACTCATCAGGTACCAAGCACAAATGGTTTGTTGCATCAGCATGGTAATGGTGAAGTTTTGAGCCCTGTATGTTGATTTATGTATTGCCAAGCATAAGCTAGACCTCTTACGGCGAGTAAACGATTACAAGTTCCGAAACTCAACGACAATTATCGAATAAGAGATTCGTTCTTGCTATTGAAAAGTGTCGGTGGTCCAAAAATGGGGCTTTCCTGCATCAAAGATCTCGTTGCCTCCGTTACACGAACTTAGTTTGCCTCGGTGAGTCCATAATGGAGCAGCTTGTCTTACACTGCATCGTGCTGGGCCATCACATGCACCTTGTTCACATAAATACCAAAATTTGCTGAAATGACAAATTCATGATCGACACAAGCATCAGATTGCACTATATATCTTGCACAAGGGCGGAGTTGGTCGCTGTAACTAGCACTATTTTACGTAGACGTTCACGATAGTTTATTTCATGTTGTCATACTATTATGCAGACCCATGTGTGTCACATTGCGCAAAAAATGGCAAATTCCGACATGCTGTGTTTAACCTCACTCCGCGAGCGATGATCCTGTTGAAGCTCGTACACAATATTGTTGAGCCTTGAGTGTCACATGAGTCATCTTGCTTCCACTAGTTTGGCTTACATTTTATAGAGAATACGTAAGTTATGTGTCATCGCCAGAAATTACCAAGTGCTACTCTAGTCCACCTCTAACGAACGCGTTGTACATCGCTATGCTTAGAAGGTACTATTTCCCACATATCAAGAGCTTATGTATACTTTTCAGTGCTCAGCTTCATTACTGCCGCGAAGATAAGGCCTTATGTGTCTTTTATCAGCTGATCTTTGCTCCACCCGACGACATTTGTCTAAAATTCCTACTGGGTTAATTCGCGTCGATATATGATAAGTGAAAGTGTATTCGACACGGAACTGCGGCAAAGTCTCCACGAAAATTGGAGCGTAAACCGACGACAACCATGGTAGGTGTCGAGCATGATGATATGCTTGCGACACGAGAATATAAGTGGCTTTATAGCTACGCACCGTTCCACGCAATAAGCAAGTTTTCAAAAAAGATGTGTGTCACGATCTCACTGTATATAAGTTGAGTCTAGACCGCGATACGGATTATACGGGTAATTCAATGGATCTAAGGGACGCAGATCCGGGGCTATAACACGTACGCAATACAGCTATCTATCATTTGTTGTTTACGATGTCTGTATTGGTCATATAGGGGATAAATCGTGGGTTTATAATGGTAGACACTTACATGTTTCGGATTTACATCGGACAGTTGTCATGAAATCTTGAAAGGCAACAAACTATGATTGAATCCTCAGAGGTTCAGCCGTGTAGTTTTTATGTATACAATAATCATTTCATCGGACATCTATACAATGTGGAGGCCATTTCGGACACTGGCCACGAAGTTTTGAGACTTGTTTTTGATATGCGATTTTGCAGATGTTATTATTGACTCGAAGAATATTCTGCAGAAAACATAGGTTTTGTGATAGGTCCGCTATACATATGTAGGCTGATACAAAGTTGTAGATTTTGGCTAAACGCGTCACAGACTTCTTTTCGCGTAGTGTCGTTTATGTCGGCGATCAAGAGCCTCGACCGCGCCTCACATCAATTATATACTCGGATTGTTTGACACAGGGTGAGGTATGGACACCCAAGACTTGGCAACTGCGACTGGACGCAACAAGCTACGCATTGGACTGGACGACCGAGATCGACGGACCGATCTGGCTATCGCCGGTCTAGCAAGTACAAGTCTGTTCAAGTGGTAAGAAGGTAGACCAAACGGGATCAAGCATCTACGATATGAAAAGGTAGCTGCAAGACAGATGGTCAACCATAGATCGGGACCGAATGGTGATCTTGGCTTGAGATTGATGCACATCTAGTTGGAGATACGAAGATTCCCGTACAGCGATGACAAATCATTGATACCTAACTTCAAACGAGATCGACCTCTGTCCAGGTCATTTCGGAGAGCTTGCCTGCCAACCCAAAGAACAAGTTCACATGGGTAGCACAAGTTTTTGACAAACACATATTGGAGTACCTCCTCCGTAAGTTTACGAGTCTATGCGCAGTAGAAGCATCTAGTCAGCAAACTTCTGGATTGCGACTTCTTTACATAAACACCTCAGTGTAAGCTATTCTACCTACATGGACTAAATCGAGCTACAACATGGACTGTAACTATCAGTTCACTGCCATTGCACTCGTCTATCATTCATTGACTGCTTGTTGGTTGATAGGATGATTCGTGTCAATCAATGCGCAGACGTTGCCGATTCTTACGTCCTTACGTGATATTGATGAGCAGTATCCGCTAAGATGATACCCCCATTGACATTTGCTGATGCCGATGTCGAGCAACCTGCTCACTTAATTGCACTAATGCAGACGCATCACTACGACGGCCGACAGGCGTCACGAGCAAATGCTGTAGTACGCATTGTGCTAACCATCACCATCGGCAAGGTACTCTATCACCGTGAAGCCACTGTATTCCTCCTGCTACAGCTGCGAGACCCATGACGGAAATGGATCCACAAACACAGGACAGTATCAGCACAAACAGGCGCTTGTCGATGCCTGTAATACCACCTCGTGCGTTTGGGACAAGGAGGCGATTGTATGAAGTGACGACGGAACGAACGGTACGATTCCTCCATGGTGGCACGCGCTGGACATGGTCAAGATAAACTCCTGAAAGGCTCAGCTGTGTGCCTTATCGAAGGCAGTTTCTCGGTATTTGACTGAAACGTGGACAAGCGGGGGCGGCAGACGTTCATGTGACAAAAGTCTGGACAAATGGACGCGCCGGATCAATGAGCTACAACAAGTACTATGCACCGTGTGAGGAGACGGCAACGAACGCTTACCCTTCTTCATCGAACCATGTGCCGGTCTCTTGTCGGTCGGGACCTCTCAATCAAAAACAACCGATGCTCGAGCATGAACGAACTGACGGTGGGGCTGTGCTGGGCACCGACGAGGTGGGGCAAGACGTCGATTAGACGACCGAACGTGGGTCCGGGGGCACTGCTACAAGCAATCACCATAGCCATTGACTGCATGTCGTTGCGCTCCGTACGACCAGCTTGTTGTCTTGACTATGAGTTGCCAAGGCGTGCACCATAACGGGTCGTGATAATACACGCAATACTGAGCTGCGCCCATGGGCCATTAGGACGGCACACTCGTTCCTCAATCAGTACCGTTCCTCGCGTATAACCACGACCTCTGTCACCATCTCCGTTGATCCCCGCAGCCATCGATCGAGACGACCCAACCGCACGCCCTTCCTCGCCCAAAGTACCACCTTTCGTTCCCTCTCTCCTCACGCTCGTCGATCACCATGACAGGCCCCGGGTGGCCACACGTCCCAACAGGTCGGCGCTTCCGTTTGCACGCTGTGTTTGGAGCTCTTCTCGTGCTGGGGGTCTTCACCCTATGGCTGCAGATGACGCCGTTCCTGCAGAGTTTGTCGCGGACAAAAGGGCAACATCCAGTCGCTTCAACCGCGTCGCACGTGACGCCACTATTTGGGAACGGGGCAGCTGGTGCGGGAAAAAAAGAGGTGCTGGACGACGACCTGCTGCACTTGAGTCTGCTGCATGAACACTGTGTGCGGGACGCCAGTGTCTCGCTCCCGTGGACGTTTGGCAGTCCTGGAAACCAACTTCCGAACGCATCGGCAAGTAATCCAGAGGTTGTCATGCACCTCAAGGACGAAAACTTGCTGGCAAAGCTTCGACAGTGCCCTGACGTGGACATTTTCCTCCCACTTGGGCTACGTGGAAACGGTTATTGCCAAGACGCTGTGGCCTACGTAAAGTGTGCGTCTCTACGTGAAGCTGTGGTTCGTTGGTACGAACGCTCTCTCGTCTCACTTGCTGTTGTTGCTTCAGATCTACAGTCTCGACTGCTGCCGCAGTGGGCGCTCCAAGTCAAGCTCTTTGATCCCGATCTCGGACGCGGTGTCGACTACTTTGACCTGTGCCCCAAGACGCCCATGCTTTTCTTCAACCACTACTGGAACGGAGTGCCCTCGATGCCACGCTGGCCCAAGGACAAGCCGATCTACATGATGCCAAACATTGACATGTTTGAGATAACGGCAGTGCATTACTGGCAAGTGGACGCAGTGTTGTGTAAGACAAGGGTATGCTACGACAGAGTGACGCAGTGGTACGAGCAAGAGGGCAACCCCCGTGGTGCACGAGTGTTTTACACAAAGCACACGTCGTCGGATCCAGCCACCTTTGCGCGTAAACGCTTGGGAAAAAGCGCCATTGTCCCCAAAGACTTTGCCACCATCAAGCTCGTTCACACGGCGGGCACGAGCGCTTCCAAAGGCACGAGGGAATTGGTGGAATGTTGGGTGCATGAGCCTGATCTGCCTCCCCTTGACGTGTACATTGACTCGGGGCCATTCAACCGGTTGATCAAGAAGGACTTGAAGGCATCGATGCAGCACAGTCGTAGTCCACTCAACCTCACTGTGGGTATGGTCGAGCGCTCTGCATTTGCCAAATTGACTGCAGAGGCGGCGTTTCACATGTGTCCGAGTATCAGCGAAGGCTATGGCCATTACATCAACCAGGCACGTGCTGCTGGAGCTGTGGTCATTACGACCGACTTGCCGCCGATGAATGAGCTCATTTCGTCAGGCGAGACGGGCTTCTTGATTCCAGTAAAGCGCCGGGCGAACTCGAGGCAGCTCATGGGTGGCGAGTACAAGGGGAAGCATGGGTTAAAGGGCGTCAGTGGACTGCTTGGATCGTTTGGAGGCCCCGACGTGTGCAAAGCTGTTCGAGAGCTGGTGGAAAACACCACGACGAAAGAGCGGGCGGCAATGGGAGCCAAAGCACACCGAGCCTACCACGAAGATACCCACTTCTTCGCCCGTGCCATGGAAGAGCTCCGTCAGCATGCACGAGGTAGTGGCTTGATCGTGTATCATTTTCATGCCGTGGCCAGGTATCTTACAAAGGGGATGCAGAAGCTGCGGAGCTTTGCGCAGCCATGAACCAGCGTGCTGCGAAGGTAATCTACCAGTGCTTTTCCACTTGGCCAATGCCGTGTCACCAAAGTGGTGCTGTCGTTGTACTGCAATCACGACAAGCTGCATAGTACGTGTTTACTTCAATACCCCCGCGGTATGAAGGTGACTGTACAAGCACAGAAAGCAGTAGCAATGCTTCTTCGTTGGGGAGACAAAAGTACTACTGCAATATCCACTTCTGAGCTCCTAATGCGTCCGTGCGACTCAGCCACTCCCGTTGCCATTGTTCGTGTAGAGAGGTACGTGTCACATCAATGCAACACCAGCAGAATAAACCCATCATCATCTTCTGCCACCATGCGACTCATTCAGAACCCTTCACGATAACAGGACCGAAGCGTGTCACAAAAGACTCGACTTGCAGGCGTGACTGGCAAATGCTCGCACGCTATCCACGCACAAAGGACACCAGATCGGCAAAGCCGATGGAACATGGCAACCACCTCGTCAGCATTCCATTTGTTGTTGCCTCCTCGTATCGAGCATATACTGATCGATGAATTGGTGGTGCGCAGAACGAGGATGCTACGACCTTCACGTGGGGGGGGGGGTCAACATCGACGACCTCACGAACGACGCAGTGCGGGTCTACCTGCGTCACAGCTTCGATTGCTATCCTACTGCCCTTTGTTTCTCATAGCGACCAGCCACCATAGACAGCAATGCTTCCCTCTGATTGACGATGATGCCGAGTGCAAACGTGAAGAGTAAGCAGAATAAAGATCGGATGGCCAACACATGCACAAATAGTGGCTGCTGGGTCGACGAGCTACGATCGACACTAAGAGCACATCCCTTGCTTTTGTTTTTCCGCGGTCTGCAGCCCTTTGCCGCACCTTGCGCACTTTGTCTAAAAAGCAGCTTTTTATGCACCTCGAGGCGAATTCGGATGCTGCGCAGCGCTCGACCGCGACGAAGAGGGCTCAGACCATACGTTCTCGCAAGACCTATCTATAGAAGTTATAGATATCCGCCCACTGTTGCTGCGACCTCTCCATTTCATCCACTATCTCAGTACACAACGAACATCGGCCAAAAAACTAGCAACGTCCGTCCGTCTGTTTATCGATCTGAGGCTCGACCTCTCGGCCACTACGGCCTTAACACAGGGCACCGCGACCGAAAAGGAGTACTGGACAATGTCGCCGCCCGCTGCGCCCCTGAGCCAAGACGCGTGCCGCGTGTGCGGCAACGAGGACGACGAGGAGTTCTTAGTGCTCTGTGACGGCTGCGACCGCGCGTTCCACACGGCCTGCCACCAGGGCTGCACGTGCTGCCGGACAAAGCCGCGCAACAACTTTGCGCGCAAACCGCCGGTGCCCGAGGGCGACTGGTTCTGCAAGTTCTGTGCCGGCCGAATCCCTCTCCTCGGTGCGTCTCTCCTGTGCAACGTCCTGTGTACGAGTATGGGTGATGTGCGTCCAGTCAGTTGCTAAATGAAGGTGCACGTTCGTGGTTGCCACGCGCGACGGTATACCGGTTCGAAATTACTGCAGCCAGTGGGCATCCGCCCGTGTCGTCGGTTTTTGGATGGGGCGACAACGAAGATGGGCAGGTGCGTGTGTCCATCTGTTTCGTCGCGTGTACCGATAGATGGCTACATTCGCGTCGTCGTCGTCGGAGTGCGGTTGTGCAAACACTAACGTCGCCATTCCACTGTGGGGATCACAATTGTGGTGTGTGTGTGTTTGTTTTTGATACATACGTAGCTGGGTCTTTCGGACCAAGCAGAGACCAAGGTGGTCTGGAGCCCGACAAAAGTGCATGCGCTCGATGGCATTGGGATCCTCGACATTGCTTGCTCCGAAACGAGCACGTTTGTGCTGTGCAACGACGCAAACTTGTACTCGGTAGGAACGGGACTGTGCGGCCAGTTGGGCCACCAGGATGTTGTCCACGAAAAGCTGTCGCACTTTCGTTTGGTGCGTTGTGGCGGTGGTGGTGGTGAACGCAGTGCTGCGTCCTGAGGGACTGTCGATGGGTAAACTACTAGAACGCTTACGTACTGCGTATCGATGTCTGTCTGCAGCTGGAATCCATAACGGAAGAGAAACGGTCCAAGGGCGAAGGACGGTACAAACTACTGCATGACTGGAGCTCGTTGTTTTTCGAACTCTTTTTGGCAAGACGTACCGCTGACGTTGTCTCACTGGTGATCCTTTTTTTCGTGTCCTGCAGGTTCTCGCAGATCCATGCAGGCGCTCAGTTTGGTCTGGTCGTCACGACCGCAGGTCATGTCTACACGTGGGGAAACGGCGAGCTTGGGCAGCTAGGCCATCAAGAGAACAAGAACAAGAAAGTGCCCAAGAAGATTTCTGCCTTGAGGGAACTTGAAGTGCCCGTCGACCTGGGTACGCTTGCAAATGAGCAATGCTTCGGTGCTTGCGGTATATGGTGGATGGCTAAGTAGTTGTTCTGCGTGTGGATACTTGACATCGTGTCATTAGTTGCATGTGGAAGTGACTTTGTCATCATGACAACGAAGGACTCTGGCGATGACCGCCAGTTTAACACAAAAAAGCCGGGTGTGTTCATGAGCATGGGGTCGAACACCCACGCGCAATTAGGCGATGCGTCCAACAAGAACCAGTGGGTCCCGCAGCTCCTCAACAACGACGCCCCGGACGTCACTGGTGTACGACAGGGAATGCGTGCGGCATTGGATACAGAAGCCAGTTCTCACTTGTGGCGTGTGCTGCAGGAGGACAATGCGGATATTGAAGAGCCTGCTGAGTTCTTGCTAGGTCGAGACATTACGCAGCTGGCTGCGGGTGGATCGCATGCTGTCGCTGTCGTTGCTGGGTACCGGATTTCGACTCAATGCATGTCGGCAGTCATCATCGAATGATGATTGAGGGCTCACTCTTGGTGTGTGTTGTCTGCTTCAGCACAAAGGGAATTTGGACGTGGGGCTATGGAGACCGTGGTACGCGTCATCAATGAGCAGTGAGTTGGCGCTTGTTAGAATGCTTACGGACGGCATCTTGCACGTTTGTGAACAGGTCAAGTCGGGCACGCCAAGTCGGTCTCTCCTCCAGGCGAGTCGAAGTTCTTCCGCTCGCAGTTTCGTGTACCTCGACCGCGTTTTGTCCAGGTTGGATCAATGAGCGCGTTGTCTATGTGTGCGTGCGTCCTGTTCTAACTCCTGTCATTTGCTCAGACCTTTCGTAACGATACGGTCACGTCCGTTGCGTGCGGTGCGCAGCACACGCTCGTGCTCTTGCAGGACGGGCGTCTGTTTGCAATGGGTGACAACGAGTTTGGTCAGCTTGGCACGAAGCGCGGCGAAGAGACCGAGACGAGTTGCACGTCAACGCCTGTGCGCGTCGCGGGCTTTGGCTCGGACACGAGCGTCAAGCAAATCGGCTGTGGCCACGACTTCTCGATGGCGCTCACGACCTCCGGCGAAGTGTACTCGTGGGGCCGCAATCAGCTCGGCCAGCTCGGTCTCGGTGACCCGCAGCCTCGTTGCATCGACAGGCCGACCAAGGTGACGGAGCTCCCACGGATTGAGAAACTGGCCGTCGGCGTGAATCAGGTCTTTGCCATCGAGTTTACCGACGGTACGTCTGACCTCGTGCGTGTTCGAGCGCCCTGCAATGGAATCGGCTGACCCGTTGAGCTGTTCTTGTGGTGTGTGTGTTTGCTGTTGATGGTACAGTGACGCTCCCGCCTCCACTCGTTCGCGCAGGATCTGGCAAGAGGTCCCAGTCGAGCCGTACGAACGTCAGTAATAGAAAGAAGAGTCGAACGTAACACAACACAACACGACCGACCGACCGACCGACAGCAGATTGGGCAGTCGCAACAACGACAAGTCATGGGTTTCCTTGCAGCAACATTACGTGGGACGCGGCCCGCTCGTTTGTTTTTAGTATGTTGCGTCTCCGACTAATTACGACATCCTATCGGTCGCAGACACTTTGGCTCGTACGCACGTGTTCCGAGTGTAAACCACTTCTCGTCGTCCCTCGACCTGCGTCATGAACCCCCAGCAACAGCAGCAGCAGCAGCAGATCTCGCTGCACACGTGGGTACCGCCGTCGCCCCAGGAGCAGCAGTTGTACGACCGCCTGTTTGCTCAAGTGGACGACCAGCGACGCAATGTCATCGGAGGTCCACAAGCGGTCGCGTTGTTTTCGCGGTCGCATGTGGACAAATCGGTGCTACGTGAGGTAATGTTGCGCGTACCCGCGTGGGGGTCAGGAGACAAAGTTGCTCATGCGGTTGTCGATGTTGATGCTGTTGGTGGTGGTGTTTGTTTGTTCTCTTGTCGGTGTTGTTGCTGCTGCTGCTGCAACATTAGATATGGAACATTGCCGACGGTCGACGACAAAGTGCCTTGTCGCGGCAGGAGTTTTATGTAGCCATGCGGCTGATCAGCATGGCACAGCATGGCGAGCAAGTGTCGGTGCAGAGGTTTCACGGCTTTGCCAATAGGCCGTACCCTCTCGCGAAGATTGAAGGAGTGGTGTTGCCTCAAGAAGTGCATTGCACACCACAGAACGTGCAACAGCAGCAGCTGCCAACACAGGTGCCGGTTCAGGCCCACATACAAGTGCCGCCACGGAATGTTGGGATGGGAGGACATCCACAGCAGCTGTTGAGCACTGGTGCTTCGTTTGTACCTACAGCAGAAGAGATGGGCAAGTATCAGTTGGTGTTCCAGCAGTACGATACCGACCATGACGGGTTTCTGAACGGCGCTGAGGCAGTGGCGCTGTTCCAACTGTCTGGCCTCGATCGCAATGTACGAGTTGTTGGCTGGTTTGTTTGTTTGTTGTGTTGACTCTGGCCCTTGTTCTCGTGCTAATGGTGAAGTTGGTGGTACCTTGTGGTGTTTGTCGTACTGCTTTGTTTTGACGATCAGGTGCTTCGCGAAATCTGGTCGATGGCAGACGTGACGCGCGACAGCAAGCTTAGTGTGCAAGAGTTTTACGTAGCGATGCACCTGATCGTGTGCGTGAGTAAGCGTGGACTACGGATGCCGCCCACGTTACCCCGTGAGCTCAGCGAGGCAGTATTTAGTGCGCGCAGCGTTGGCGCGGGGGCAGCGCTTGACCAAGGCTCTGGATCTCAGGGAATAGCAAGTGTATCGCAAGATAAGCTCGTGGGAAAGCAGCTAGAGGATGCGCCACCGTATAAGCCTGAGGGAATGTGTGCGTTTGACTCATTGTCCACCACGGCGGATACACCGCTGCCAAACCTGCTTCCGCCGCCAAGCCCGCACGATTCGCGTAAAAGTGCTTTCGATCAGGCTGATACTAGCGGAAGCAACGTTCAGCTGGAAGGCTTTAGCGGACCTCCAGCTGCTTCCCCTAGTGTCAGTCTGCACGGAAGCGTACCCACGTCGTTCGAACAGCAAGAGCGCTACGGCTTTACGACGACGCACACTCCTAAGGTTGTCGCCAGGGCTCGCACGAACTCGGCGTCATCGATGAATTCGATGTCCAGTTTCGGTGACTTTTCGTCGCTATCGTCTCAGCAGTCAATGCAGCTTCCTCTCCACGATTTCGGCAGCAACGATCGTGCTCAAGCTGGCAATCCAAGTTATCAGGCACAACATGGGCTTGCTGCTGGCGGGGGCTTTGGTGTACCGCAAACTTTGTCGGAGAAACCGTTCATGAGTGGTGAGGAAGAAAAAAGGTTGGCGAGACAGCTTGACCAGCAGAATCGGGATTTTGCTCAGATTGTCGCGGATGTGGAGCGCAAGCTACCCGCGATCGAGACGATGTCCACAGCATTGGACAGTCTCCATGAAATGCGCGATGAGCTCGTGGCTCTTGTGATGAAGCGGGATGCAATGCGTGCTGCATCAACTTCCGCTTCTGCCTCGAATGGCGATGTTGGAAGTGACAAGACTTGGCACGCTGTAGCACAGAGTCTTCAAAGCCTGGTGGACAATCAGAAGCAGCTGGTCCGCCGACTACAGAGTGATATCTCCAGAGAGGAAAGTGAACTGGAAGAGGCCATATTGAGCGCAAAGCTTCAGCAGAAGATGTCACTCGAGTCACGATCACCCGTGACTGGCGCAACATCGCCGCCGGTATTGACGCACGCCTCCTCAAGAGCTGCAAAGGGCGAGGCTACTGCTTTTGCCAGCACTCCTCTTACTTTTGGCGAGCCCGATGGTATGTCACTTCCTGTGACGGTTCCCAGTGCACCTCCCATGTCTACGTCTCCCCATGGTGTGGCTGACAGCAGTGGGTTCGATGCGTTTGGCAGCTTTGAATCTGGACCATCTCCAGCAGCTACGATTCCGTCAACGATTCCGTCAATGATTCCGCCAACGTCTCCATTTTCTCAGCATTTATCTGCACCCCCAAGTGCTAGGGGAGATGGTAACTTCGATGCGTTTGATGATTGCGCAGCTGTGTCATCCACCGGTAAAGACCCGTCATTGATGCTCGATTTTGGCGGAGAATCACCGTTCACATCTGCATCTGTGCCTGCTGCGATGAGCGATGACACTGGATTTGGCGATTTCAATGCGGCAGCACCACTCGCTACTTATGCTGAGAGCATGTTACCCCCTATATCAGCAGCAATCGACGCGTCGTTTGCTCCATTTCAGCCGTCGCCATCTCCTGCTGCGATAGCGTTTTCCGGATTCGACGATTTTGGTACAGCTCCCTCCTCTACAATTTCAGTGGCAGTGATGGAAGGTACCAGCGACAGCACCAACTTCAGCTCGGAGCCGACGTCTTTTTTCGATGCAGATTCCAGTGCGTCCGCACATGAGTTTGGCCCACGTGATCTACTGGTTGCAACGGAAGACCCCGTGTTTGATGCTTTTCCTACTACAGCTTTATTCGATGCCGACGCTACGCCATCAGCAAGCACAGCTGTTGACACTCCGAACTTGCTACTTGCTTCTGTTGCTGCAGACAAGAACGAACCGGACGCGTTTGGCGATTTTGGTGGTGTTACAGCGTCGATTGACACTGCAGTGGAATTTGCGGAGTCGGCCGCATTTGAGCTACAACCAAGTGGAAGCGCGCTATCTCCATCGACATCTTCTTCTATCGCTGCGATGCCGTCTAGCACCATCGGTTCTCTTCCAGCAATGATGGGAAGTGCTGAAGAAGCATTTGCGTCGGAAAAGACCACTGGCGACTCACCGTTCTCTCCAGTCGCTTCAGCTGACAGCAATAGCGTCACTGGACTTGGCGATTTTGACGGATTCGGCGGCTTCATCGCAGCTCCGACAGACACTACCGCTCCACTTTCCACATCTACTTCTATCGCTGCGACGCCATCTAGCAACAGTTGCACCATCGATTCCTTTCCCGCAACGATGGAAAGTGTTGAAGAAGCATTTGCGTCGGAGAAGACCACTAGCGACTCACCGTTCTCTCCAGTCGCTTCAGCTGACAGCAATAGCGTCACTGGACTTGGCGATTTTGACGGATTCGGCGGCTTCATCGCAGCTCCGACTTTGACAGACACTACCGCTCCACTTTCCGCGCCTGATGAGCCAGCAGCGATGATCTCCGATACCGCTCTGCTTTCTCCCGAAGCCAAGATCGACAACGAAGAAGGTTGTGAAGACATCAGCGTCGCCTCAGCTTCGACTCTCGCTGCAACGACAGGAAGTCAAACTACGGAGTCGGTCGTTGGTAATGAGTGCTCACCCGTACCATCTGGCAGCAAGAAACTTGGCGACTTTGTCGACATCAACTTGGCTTCCGTGACAGCTGACAGCGACAACACTCTGCTCTCTCCTGTCAACGATGGCTTTGAAGTGATCGATGACTTTGTCGCTGCTCCATTACCCGCGACTGATGAGAAAGCGGTTGACACCAATAACTGCAGCGACTCGGAGGCGTGACTTGGCTAGCTTCAAGTCACGGTGTAATGAAAAACGCTTGCCAAAAAAGTGCAATCGACCCAAAGTTGGAAGCGGAAGCTGGATTCGACGTCAAGGTGGGTGCATTCGGGACACTCACGCGTGCTGTTCGGAATGCGGTATACGGCTCATTGCACAGCAACGGAGACACAAGGAGGGAAGAAGTATGGCAAAGGTGGTGCTGGCATGAACTGCCACGAATGAAGTGTCGGAATGTCGATCTGATCAAGCGCGAAAGGTACTGACCTTGAGGGTGCCCAGTCGTTTACGAATCCAGTGCAGCACTTTCTCGGGCCGTGCAGGGAGTACAAAATTCTTCGTGGGATGCAACCAAGTAAGACAATGCAGTTTATGTGACAATTGATTTGGATGCGAGCTATCACTCATCGCCTGGTGCTTGCAGTGTGGTGGGCACCGGAGGTGGACAAAGTTTTGTTGTGTGGAAGGCCGATGAACTTGCGTAACGCTTTGCCGTTTCTCATACCTTGAATTCTCAAAGGTCTTGAAAGCTATCGTTGGTATTGTGCTTGGCCTACACCCTCGATGTCCTCACGAACGGTTGCATACATAGTTAGGACCGTTGTTTACATCTCGTTGGCGATTTTGCCTTCGCGAATATGGTCTATCTACTCTGTACAGCCTGCCGATATGAAGAGGCAAAGGTTTGAAAAGGGTAGCAAGCAGTCTTTGCAATGGCATCACACCAGTCTGTTCGAAGCAAATTGCAGCGTTCTGATGCGTCTACGACGTGACGGAACCCTTTACGCAAAACTCACAGTATTCGCAAGGGAAACGAAGGGGCGCAACCTTTGATGCAAACATGCTCTTCGAGCATTGTCTGTGTCTTGTCACTGAGAGTCTCTTCAACATGCACGGAAGCCCCAAGGAGCCTCATCATCTCTTCGATTCTTCTAGTTGGTTCGAATGCATGGTACGCATCTAGGAACAGGTGATGAAGTGCCATTTCACGCCCTGCAAGCAATTCAATTGATCGGTATGTACACTTTGTCCCTGAGAGTGTGCCATTGTCCAGAAAAAAGAGCAACCTGCACGAGCAGGTTGTAAGGAAGTGAAACGGTCGTGACCTTACGGAGCTTGCTTTACACACTCAGGATGCCCATCCTTCACCAATGGGTCTAGCTAGACACCTGGCAGTCATACCCTTCCAGTGTCGAAAGATGAACGTCACAACCTTCTTTCTGCCTGGTGACGCGAGCTGTCGTTGCGAGAGTACACGGAAGAGAAACTCATGTTGGTGAACTTTGCAATGGAATCAGCTTAGCTTGCCTCAAGGAACTCGAGCGTGTCAATGCAGGTGCTGTTCACTTGCAGCAAATACTGGTGGAGGCCCACAGAGTGCTTTACCCCACATTGATCTTGTTCACGTCAAGGCACTGCTTCAATGCAGGAAGCTATAATTGGTCTCTTCCAGTTTCCACACTGAACTTGATGGACCGCTGGCAAGCCGATGGAACTCACTACGACGTTGACACGATCCAGCGCTGACGTCTTGTTTGTCACAGTCATTGGCGGTTTGGCCCGTGCAAGAGCACTCCGTACGAAATCGTCAACCCAAACACTGTTCATCGACGTTGGAATACGTTCTTTTGGATCAGGCGTTGCTGTCGTCGTGCAGCTCACCTCAACCGCAACGAAATGCAATAGCAGAGCGAGAAACGAGCATCGGATCAACACGCAACTCGATATCAACTGAGTGTATGCACTAGCGCTCGCAATTCGTCCAACCACTTTAGTCATCGCAGTGAGTGCCCTCCAACACCTACGGATCGATCCATAGCGTCCACTTTGGGCCTCTGCAACACGACACGAGGCCACGACTCGTCGAGGGACTGAAGCCATGCAGAACGACCGACAAGCGCCTTTTTTGCCAGCGCTCTACTCGGAATGCCGGGGCTTCATGGGCGCAAAGTACGCAATGAGGTCCTTGATGTTCATGAACGCACTGAACGGGTCAGCCATCTCACTCCTGATCGCTACAATGGCTTCGTCCACTTCCTCTGGCGTAAACAGCTCCGTCTCGCGCTTCAGCATGCGCGCCATGTACCGCGTGCGCACCAACCCCGGTGTACGCTCGAGGCCGTCGCCGAGGTCCAAAATCGCGTTCCGCCGGCGATGGGCCAGCCCCATCGTCGGCTCGCCGTCGGGGAACGCGTGGAGGCTGTCGTCGCCCACGAGTTTGCAAAAGTAGCCGCAGTAGTTCACCTTGAGCTCTTTCAGGCCGCCTGTGTGGATGTCGTACACGAGGCCGTGGATATTGGGCTCATTCGGCCGCCCAATGCGGTGCTGGACGACGTTCATCTTGAACACGTTGAGGCACTGCTGCTTCACGTTGAGTTCGACCGTGCGCCGGTACCGCGCGTCGTCGCTCGGCAGGGCGTCGAGCTCTGCTTTGTGGTTCCGATGCACGTCGCGCACCGTGCGGAGCCACGTGTCCAAGATGCCAATGTGGTTGTTCTCCATGGCGGCCTTGACGCCGCCGCAGCCATAGTGGCCGCACACGATAATGTCTTTGACTTGCAGCGACTCGACTGCGTACTGGACGACCGACAGCATGTTGATGTCGTTCGTGACGACTAAATTCGCCACGTTGCGGTGGCAAAACATCTCGCCGGGCACGAGGCCCGTGACCTCTTCGGCCGGCACGCGCGAGTCGGAGCACCCGATCCAGAGGTACGACGGGTGTTGGCCTTCGGCCGTGCGGTGGAACAGCGACGCGTCCTGTCGCATGAGCTCTTCGCGCCACTTTTTGTTATTGTCGAGCAAGTGCTGAATCGACTTGGACGAGCGGAAACACTCGTCTTCGGTGCACTTCGCGCCTGGACAGGTTGAGGTCATGATGACAAGAGCGAGAGAGAAGGAGAGAGAGCGAGAGAGGAAGAGAGAGAAATGGAGAGCGAGAGAGAGGAAGTACTGTGGTGGCAGTGGCAGTGGTGACAATGCACGGGCAAATTCGCAACTGAACGTCAGGGGGTCCTACTCAACGGACGCGCTTCAACGTGGAAAGTCGCTGTGGCACTGCTTCGTCCAGTTGTGGTATGGTACAGTGGGAGCGGCAGTATAGTGGTACTATTGTGGTGCTGGTGGTGGTCAATCGTCACCAGTGGTTTACCGGTCCGAAAAAGAGCGAGACAAGAATGGGGTTTGCTGCTTCTTGGCCCACTTTGAGCGTCGGCAGCTGTCGAGTCGCTGGGCAAACGACGTCTGGTCGGTGCGAGACGTCTTCGCCGAGAGGAGGGAGATGTGTGTGTGTGTGATTGGGATTGTGATTGGGATTGTGATTGTGTTCTCTTTGCAACTGACGTGTTGGTGCCGTCTGTGGACATTTGCGCGGTGGTGTGCATTTTCAGTCACGTTTGTGGCTTGGGCGGCACGTGTGGTGGCGCTGCTGGTGCACAAAGTCAGAGGTTACGATCGATACGCGTCGCGCAACGAGAGAGTGAGAGGTGAGATCCGGGGGGACGACATTCTCTTCTGAGCTTAGCGGCAGCCACGTGTCCGTTTCATCTCCACGCAGCAAAACGACTGTGCTAATCTCGGACTGTATCATGCACGTGCCTTCTCGATTGACGCCGATCGACGCTCAGCGTCCGTCGTGTCGTATCTGAAGCAAACGGGCAGTTTTGTTGACGGCGAGGCGATGCCAACACGCGCGTATAGAACACGAGATAGTATGTGTGTGTAGCTAGAGCAGAAGGGTGGAGTGAATCCATCGTGACCCCATCACGGCAATAGTTTGAGGTCGATGGGGCGAAGCTCTAGCAGAAACGCGTCTGGTTGCCATGATAGACGCGTCGCTATGAACTGAAGACATCACGTACAGCAGCGAGTACGTCATCGTGTAGTGGACTCGTTGTCGGTTGATAAAAGGAGTGGCTTGAACATGTACTGCTGTATACGTGCTGGCCGACTACGAAGAGGCGACGAGCGATTATGGTATACAAATGTTTAGCTGGGATACGTAAAGACAATGCTTACGTAGTCGTGTCGTTTCACTTTACCGTGTTTTTTGATCTCGGATCGATATTGGAAGACTGGTGCCGATTCCGGTCAGTACAAAGTGCCCGTTACTTCACTGAAACTGACTGACGTGAGAAGGCTACGCATAATGGCACCGCGCTACTGTATCGTGTTGCACGTATAACTACATCACAACGTTCGAAGTAAAATGGTTCAATGGTCTCCTGTCGACTTGCTAGTTAAGTTTGCTGCTCATGCTAGCATGGCCGTCTTCTCTATCTGCTCGATAGATCATGTCGATTCGAGCAACCGACGTGTTTGTAGAGCCAAGCGATAAGCGAATTATGTGATTGTAAGCGTCAGTCGTGGGCAGGAGACAACGCAAATATAAGTGACAGCTGTGTCATCCCATATCTCCGCAGTGTCCAGATCGACTGCTCGGATGTCTTGTGGTCAACCGAAACCATTAGCTATGTACCGAGACCGCGCACAAATTCTCGTACTTGGTTTACAAGCCAAACTTGGTCGCCAAACATGCCGCACAAGTGGGAACCCGTCGGTGCGAATGTGCATTGACGACGACAGCGCACTTCGTGGTTGATCGACTGCCTTTGACTGCAGGTCGAGAGAGGCCAACTTCTTCCATCCGGCTACAATCATGTCGCCCGATGACAGACAGCGTCCACATGGCAACAGCAAAGCACTTTCCAGCAGTGTTCACTGCCACGTCGCACAAAAGTGAGCCATCTTTTCTCGCTCGAATAACGCAGACGTGTGCACTTTCCCAGATTTTTCATCAAAAGGGGGTGTTCAAGTGAGCAAGTGAACACGGCAGCACACAGACCGAAATCGTCGATACTCACACAAAAACGACGGACCCGTGCGTTCTTGAAGCGCTCGCTCGTCCATGGTACAAGAAAGCACTTGTGCACATTTTCGTTTGCTGGTCCATCAAGCGGTGCATGTAGCTTCGAGAGCGTGCAGCTTTGTATCGAAAAAGCACAACCCTCGCGACGATTTCAAGCACTCAGGAGAACCGCCTCGAGACAGTACAACCACGCTGAATGGAAGCGCATGTGTCGCTGACGAGAACGGTAGTCCTGCTGGAAGCGACGATGAAGATGTGCTCACTTCACTTGGTGCATCGTATCGCGCGTGGCAAGTTTACCATCGAGAGAAGCGAGCCCACGACTATACCAAGACCAGGTTGGTCGATTCCATCAAACGAGAAAACGAGCTGACCAAGCAGATGGCGCGTGTTGGTGGATCTGTGGAAGGCATCGAGCGCACATTGATGGGGCTCGAAGATCTCGAAACTGCCGTGGCCACATCAAACGAGTTGTTGCTCGGTGCTGGAGTGACCAGAAAAGCAGCAGACAAAGATGCCGAGTGCACGCTCGAAAGTCCGTGCCAAATGCACCTTGACCGTGTCCATGAAGCAGAAAGCGCTGTCTTGCACTGGAAAACACAGTACGAGAAAGTGCTCCCAGAGCTAGCAGCATGCCATTTGGAGAGGGACCGGCTCGTGGGAGAGCTCCGCATGGCCAAGAAAACTGCAGTGTTGATGATGAACCGACAAATCGGTCAACTTGAGGCGCTGAATAGCACCCACCACCAGTCTCTTCCACGCATTCCTCGCCACCGTAGGATCGACGTCAAGAAGCGGTCGTACAGCGACGTTGTGATTTGAGCTTCAACACGTAAAGAGCGTATCTGCTGACCTTCATTTTTCCGTTCGAGACGTCGAGACGACGCTGGCTGAAGCTTCATCCCACAAGCGTTCTGGCGCTGTTTTTCGGACTGTAGCGAGCTTCTCTGCAGAATACACGATGTCGCTCTTTACTCTTGCACGAGCAGGCTGTTTCGTTGATCTCACATGTGTACATGTTGGCGCGCACATCGTTCCCAGCTGACCATTTCTTTGACACACCGAGCGACCACAACATGTTCACGAGCATACAACAAGCTCATGATTCCAACGTCTGCAGCAACGCGTGTGCTGTCAGTTGCTCGTCACCGCCGCACGATTCAAACAGCATCTCCACAAGATCCCGAGCAAAGCCCATCGCGACAAGCTGCACCAAGCAAAGCAAAGCAAACAAAGCGACAGGGTGTAAGCACAATACGACACAACGTCCAGTCTCATCACCAATCCGCACCCGCTCCACTGCGTCAGCCTTCATACTGCTACTTGCAGCTATGGCCACCTTGCGTCCAGATTCAGAATCAACCGCATCATTGCTGCAGTCTATTACCTCACCCTCAACGGAAGGCGAACTTGTAGCAGAAGCGGGGAGTAGAAGGAGCTGCAGCGTCGCCACCGGGTTTTCATTCAGCTGATTCAGCAGCTCTGATGAAAACTGGTCTTTCAACAGCAGCAACGCCTCGAACGAGTTCGTTGCTGCCAGTGTCCGTAGCTTTCGCATGTTTTCGTCATGCACTAAGTGTCCAAGCGGAGACGATGGACACTGCCGCGCACTCGAGTTGGTCGTCGCCTCACTGGCCTTCGATCCTTTCTGCTCAGCCACTGCATACACTTTGCCTTCTACCAGCAGCAAAGCCGCTTGCGTGAGGTCGTTGTGACTTTGTCGAAGAGCTTGAGCTACTGCGGCTGCTGGAAAGCCCATGGCCACGAGCTGAGACCTTTGCACCCTAAACATCTCGGAAGTCTCGTCGTCTTTGCGTCGTTCACTGGAAGCACTGGACTCACTTCCAATTGGAACAAAAGGCCACGTCAACGACGTCTCGGGAGCAAACACGAAGAAATCCGATGGCAAGAGCGTGTTCAAGTCCAGTACGTCTGGATCGGCGACAATTTGGCCGCGAAGGAGCACGAAACAGTCGTCGAGACGCAATGGACTCGCAGCGTTTCCACGCAACTGCTGTCGTTGCTGTAGTATCCACTGCTTTAGCTCAGCCACGCGAATGCGGTCTGCCTGCGCGCCCGAGCGCTCGAGAAACAGTTCACGCCCATCGTCAACGCATCGGACCCGGAGCACTCGCATCGCGAAATGGCTACAGTTTAGTTTAGTTTACAGCCAATGGCAAAAGAGCACACGAGACGTAGAACGAATGCACTGGACCTACTGACTTACCGATGTGTGGTTTAGTCGACAGTATATGTGGCGCACACCAGAAACAAGCTCGCATCTGTTCGGTGGACGACGGCGTGTTTCAATGTCCACAACGCCGTGTTCGACTAACCGGCTGACTCAAACGGAAGCAGCAAAACAGGATAAGTCGATGTTGCAGTATAACCGGGGCAGCTATAGGATAAGTAGCTTTTTCGCAGTATAACAGCCTCCAACCTCCAGTTGTGCTTGAACCCGTCAAAGGATACGCTTTGTTTGTTGTACCCATCCGCGAAGAAGATACAATGTGCAGTTGTAGGACTCATTCTACACGTCGCATAGCTGAGGAGGGGGCAACTCCACCTGCAGCCAGAGCTACAGCCTCTTTCGCACGCACACACACACACACTCTCTCTCTCTCTCTCTCCCCTCTCTCTCTCTCTCTCTCTCTCTCTCTCTCTCTCTCTCTCGCTCTCTGCAGCATCAGTCGACTGACTGTGTGTGTGTGGGAGTGTCTCGCGTCGCGTCGATACGTATGGGTTTCGTCCGTCTTCCAGTGTACTGTACTGACTGATCAATGAAGACAGACGTAAACACACTCTCTTTTGTTTCGCATTTGTTTACGTTTGTGGCTGTGCTGTGACCGGCATCGGGACAAAGTGTGACGTGGCGGACTTGCTGCAGTGCGAGGGGTTAGCTGCGTTGAGGCTGTTCCGGCACAACTTGCGGTGCAAACGGTGGCCTTCTCGTTGCTTGCTCGGGTCTTCCGGTCCGCTGAACGCCTGGCACCACTTGTTCGCCTTTGCACACCCCTCTAGTCGATTGCCTACTACTTCATCACCTCATGCTCTGCGTTGCTCTGCTCTGCTCTGGTCGAGAAAGAGTGCGAGTGAGAGAGAACGAGTTGTGTGGACAAGCGAAGGGAATATCATCTATCGTCAACATGTCGAGCAAAATGAGGAACACCAATACGAAACTCTAACTAGTGGTACCCGCCGCTGCGGGGACGACGACGCCGTCGCTTACTCGAATAGCTGTCGGACAGGCGGCGGCGGTGGAAGGCATTGCGTCGGGACTGCACTGTCCGTTGATGGCACTGTGAGTGCAAACGTGCGCGCTAGTGTCCTACCGGGCGTCACGCTGGCCATGCACTTTTGCATGAACTCGTCGTACTGCATGTACTGAAGGCGCTCTTGCAGGTGGCCATACTGGATGAGCGAGTTGGGGGCCACCAGCACGTGGCCGCATTGCCCGCCGCCAAGCTGTGCTAAGTACGTGATGGTGTCCCGCATGACCGACTCGGGCGAGAGGCTGCCTCGAGGCTCGGAGAACCACTGCGGGTGTCCATCTTGTTGGGCATTTGCGGCCTGGACAAACTCTTCGAGCGCTTCGGTGTGCCAGCTGAACAAAATGGCGGGATTGTGGTCCGTCACGGTGACGCGGCTCAAGTACGCTTGGACTTCTTGCGATAACGCGGCGTCCATCACGACGACGTGTGTCATGTTGCGTCACACAGGTGCAAGTGCGTGTGTTGGTGGTGCCTGTGAAACAGAGAAGCACGACAGTGAGACGGCGTCGATCGATGATCGGTTGGGGTCGAGTACAGTCGCAGGAAATGGTACGTACCGGACAATTCACGATCCGTTTCACACTTGTGTTGGCTCGTGAAGGAGTCAGTGACTCGACGAGGACGGAAGTGAGGGAGCGAGCGAGCGAGCGAGCGAGTGAGTGGAGTAGGCAATGGCCTGGCGAGACAAGTGGTCTCGAGTCTGAAAAGAGAGAATGAGCTGCAAGTTCCGTGCAAAGTGTGTCCGTCGACAAGACCCGATGACCGCGTGAGATGACGCTGTGCCGCAAAGACGAAATGCTGATGAGGCTACTGCTACTGCTACTACTGCTACTGCTACTACTGCTGCTGACGACGACGACGACGACGGCGACGACGATGGGGTGCCGGACAGGGGGAGAAGGACAAAAGAGGACTGCGATTCAGCATGCCGCGCCGAGGGTTCAGCACCAATCTCGTGGGTCGGGCTGCACGTGAACAAAACCCGCGGGGCCACTGCCTCTCGAACGGCAGGAGCCGCGCGCGTCCATTCTCGTGGCCGAGTTTATGCCACCACAGGTTCTCCCCGTCGTCCGCGGAAGAGCCCGCTGCCACCTCTATGTCAACCAGAGCCACGTTTGACTCGGGCAAGTCAGTGGCTTGGCCTGTCGGTCGGGTCAGCACTCTTTCACGAAATGGACAGCAGAGCGCTGAACGCAAAGCGCTGTTTGAACGGCACGCCCAAGTGCTTCTTCTCATCCGAGCGAACGGGTGCGGCGCAGAGAAAGCCGCGGGGCGTTCCCGACTAGAAGCGAGTAGAAGCGCGAGCGCGTCGGTCACGTCGCCTCGAGTTGCGTGAGCGCCAGTGCACGGGCAGCTACAGCCACATTGACATGCGTAGACATTCCACTTGCGCCCAATGTCGTTGCTGTCGACGCCAAGGAGCGACAGGGTGAGTGAGGCCCAGAGCCGACGCCACGATAGGTCTCATACCTCGTCGAGTCATCGAGTCGGACCGTGCGACGAACCTGCTCGAAACCAGCAAACAGTCGGCGCGAGGGACTCGTTGTGTGCGGCAAAGGCGTCGAGCAGGTCAGTCTCCTGTCGCAAAGAGGTGCTCGAGGGTGTGGCTGGCAAACAACTGGTAGTTCACTCGGAACTCGTTGCTTGCATTGGGGTCCAAGTGGCGACAGTCACTCGGGAGGAGAGGAGAGACGACTGTTGCGGGACGTTTTTTCCAGCCGAGAGCGGGGGGGGGGTCTGTTGTCTGCGGCAACGGTCTCCATGTGAGGTCGAGACGTTTTCAGGGACCGATGGCTGCCGCCACTGCGTCTATTCTTCCACGTGCGGTGCGGTGCGTGGCTATTGATGTTGAAGACGGAGTGTCGACACGATTGGTACCTGATTCTTCTTCCCACTCGCTCTCACTTGTTGGGCGTGCACGGCACATATGCTGCTGCTCTGCTTTGCACTCGCGTGGCTGATTTGGCAGCATGCCACAGGCCCCACCGGAGGCATCATCCTGCTACTGGTCACTTCCTGACGCTACCGGCTGCCCGGTCTCGCGCCATCAGACTGCGTGCATTGGCGACAGGCTCGAGCACATGTGATGGCTGCTGGACGTTGCCAGGACAGCCTTGTTGGACGGCCGATTCGGGTGATGTGCTGAGTTGAAAGAGCCTGCTCGGGGCTGTCGGCTTTCACGATGGTAGCGACCATCTCGTCAGTCCAATGTGCAGCCGCTGCGCCCCTCTGCATTGACGGCACGTCCTTTGCTCTCTCGACCAGAACGACGAGCGTGAGTCCGACTAGAGTGGATGGTCTGCACGGCGCAAAGCAGGGGGAACCCCGACAGCGACGACACGAATCGTTTCGGTGGCATTAGGTCCTGCACGGGAGAAGCTGAAGGGGTAGAGTTGATGTCCTGGACCAGCGCTCCGGGGGATGCTCCACGCTTGCTTCAGCTGTCAGTGTAATGTCTGCGACGTGATTACTGCAGCGACTGGACCGTGCCACGTGGTCGGCGACATGTACCGGATGCTCGTGGGAGTTGTCTCGGGCCAGAGATCCTACAAACCTGTCGTAGCGCCCAGCAGTCGCAGGCCACCCCCACATGTCCTCGAGTTACAGCCCCTTGCACGCAGCACGAAAGTCTCTGTCTATCCGCATACCTCTCTGTCTCTCTGCATATCTCTCTATCCGCATATCTGTCTGTCTGTATGGCAATGCTGAATGACGAGCGAAGCTTAAGATTTGATTCGCACCTCACACTGTGTCACGACGTCCTGCTCGCGAGTAATCTATTGCGACAGCAGCGTCGGCAATGACGCACACGTCCCGCTTCCCCCGTCCTCCTCCTGCTCCGCCTCCTTGTTCGCCCTCGTCATCGTAGGCTCTCGCGAGTGACCCCATGGAGGGTACACTCGAGACCTCGTGCGAGGAACCGGCGCCAAACATTGCACCTCCACGCAGGCGGTTTGGCTGAAAGGGCGCGGCGGACAGGCACAGTGTGTGTGTGCGTGTGGTGCGACGACTCGGTTGGTTGGACCACGCTCCGTTGCTGTAGGGATCTTGGGTCGTCAAGAGAGCGAGAGGATCCAGCTGGTCCAGGCGTTTCAGATGCCTGCGCTCGCCTCGCGTCCATGGCGTCATTGGGACAAGTTGGAAAGTTAGAGAGAGAGAGAGAGAGAGAGAGGTCGGGTGAAGGCAGTCGTCCTACAGTGAGTGTTTCCACCTGAGATTTGTGCTGCAAAGCGCGTCCGATGCGCAAAGGACAAGAGCGCCACAAGATCGCGGCGGCGGCGCCATTCAGCGAGCGAGTGAGCCGTTTTGTTGGCTTCCGATGCGCTCAAGAGGCGACGGTTGTCTCGCGCGCAGCCGGTCGTATCCGAGTCGAAGGGGCGGGCGGACACAGCCACGACGGCGCCCGACTTGGTCGCTTTTGGAAAGACAGTCCGTCCCAAGCGCGTGACGAGGGGCTCTGTCCTAATCTTCTGCTGTCGACGCCCGTTTTTCCCACACGCTGTAAAGTTTACGGGGCGCGGCGCTGTACATCACACACACACACACACACACACACAAGCAGCTGCGCCGCAAACCCCCTGAAGCGGCAACCGGATGGCGGACATGTCGGCTGCAGTATGCGTTTCGCGTCCACACTCTGTCCCAGTTGCCACTCGCGCCGCTCGCGCCCTTTCAGCGCTCGGTCCGTCCACCTTGAAGCCACAGCAAATCCCGTCGTGGGTGGCTCAAAAACGCCGCCGCCGGGCGCGAGAACCTCTTCCCAGTATACGGTCTCCACGCGGTCGTATGCAACACTCCTGTCCCAAACGAGACCACCTGCTTGCGTTTGCACCCTGCGAAAACCAGCTCAACGTAGTCGGTCTCTTTTTCCTGCCCTGCGCTCGCAGCAGCCGTTCTAAACGTCGCTCTCGTCCCCTTTGCGTCCGCTCTTTTTTTCGCTCTCGCTCGAGTCGCTGGAGCCCATTCACTTTTGCATTCGCTCCCTGTCGCACACATTCACTCAGTGCACCACTGCAACGTGACCCCTCTCGTCTTCGTCAACTCTTCGCTTTCTCCTCACTCTCGTCCTCGTCATGTCTGAGCACGTTGTGCTCAAGCTGAGCCACGCGGGCGAAACGCACCGCACGACCGTCGCGCTCCACGAGACCGACCGCTACGAGCAGCTGAGCTACGAGCTCGTGCTGGCCAAAGTCGGCGCGACGTTCGGGAAGCTCCCGGGGCACTGGACGCTCGTGTACCGCGACGACGAGGGCGACGTCATCACTGTGTCGCACGCGCTCGAGTTCGACGACGCGTGCCACGTGCTCCTGCGGCTCTCGAGCCAGAGCTCGAGCCCCCCTAGCAACCGCAAGCTCCGCAGTGTGCACTTTTACGTGCTCTCGCACGTGTCGTTCCGGCAGAAACTGGTCGCACCCGTCTTGCAAAAGATCGTGGCGCTTGCCCACTTGGCGCGGGAGATTGCATCGCTCGGGCGCACGCGCGAGCTGCTGGACAAGGGCCGCGAGTCGTTGGTGCGGCTCGCGGGCGGCGCCGTCTCGCAGGCCGGCGCGGCCATGAGCCATATTTGCAGCAGCGACGTACTCGTGCGCGGCCGCGAGTCGCTCGGCCACTCGGCGGCCCACACGCGGACGATGCTCCTGTCGGCCCGCAGTGGTGTGAGCACGCGGCTGCAACGGGCGGGCTCGGCCGTAGCGGCGGGCATTGAGCGCCGTCGCTCGGCCAGTGGCAGCGAATTTGTGGTCGATAGTGCCAAGCAACGAGAGGTGTCGTCGTCGTCGTCGCCGTCGTCGTCGCCGGGGAGCGCCCGGTCAGCTTTTGCGTCCACTTCAACGTCACTGGTGCCGAGGGAAGTAGCAGTGACAGTGGATTTGCGCCAGTACCACTCGAGTCGGGGCGTAGAGCCAGTCGAGGATCGAACAGCTGGGAACGGGGAAGGAGCGAGGGACGAGCGCCACGACGAGACGCGTCGGACGGAAGCAGATGCGGAAGTTGCAGCAGTGGAAGACACAGAAGCAGCAGAGCTTCTGGAAAGTGAGACGGCGTACGAGTCGGACGCGGATACGCTGTGCGACGAAGAAGAGGATCGCGAGTGGGACGTTGTCGACAACTCGAGACGTGGCGCGGTGGATGAAGCTGCTGCTGCGACGCATAGCGACTGGACGCGTGAGCTGACTGTGCTGCGGAGTGTCCTCGTGCACGTGGACCTTGACCGCTGTTGCGAGTTGCTGAGCCAGCACAATGGCAACGTCGAAGCCGTGCTAGTGGCACTCACGAATGTGTAAATGACTGGCCCTGGGCTGCTCTCTGTTTCGTTTACTTACAAATAAAAATATGCTCTATCGTTCATCGTGTTGCACTGCTTGCTGCTGTACCTCGATGGATTTGCATGTACGCCTCCTACGCATGTTGTCGTGCAGGATACTCTTTTGTGCACATACACGCACACACGCGTCGTCAGTTGGCCAGTTCTGAAGAAAAAACATCAGCTTCGACATGTCGCTATGCACATCTTGGCACACGCTGCTACCATTTGATCTCATGCCCCGAGCATGCAGGTATAAAAGGACCGTGAAGTGGCAGCAGAATGACTGCATTGTCAAGTACACGTTGATATGCGTGTAGGCGCTAGCAGGTCTGGTGTGCTCGGATGTATGCTCAAGCGCTTTCATTCGCCCACTTTGGAACCGTTAGCCGTTTTGCACCATCCATTCGACACGACCGCGCACGTCATAATGGCGACGATCTCGATCCTTCATCGCCGTCAGAATCCTGCCTCACATGCGACATGCAATCGAGTTCAGTGATCTCGAGCCACTGCCGGCGTGTTGTCAACTTTTTCGCACCCGTCACGACGTGTAAGATAGTAGACACTGTTTCTAGATGTGCGTTTGCCTTCTGTACCACATGCAGTTTAGTCGTCTTCTTTCTGTCTAAACATCCGGCCATCAGGAATATAAACGGCGCTTCTCGCTCACAAAACAGGTGTGCCACAATGTTTGTTTTCGTAATCTCAAGAGTAAACAATAGTGCACTACACTATTCGAGCACACGCATAGAAAAACACTTTGTTTATTATGCGTTGTTTTCGTCAACAGCAGTCCATTTACCGCCAATCATGTCGACGAGAGAGTGTCTCGCGCGGCCGCATGCGGACGCAATCAGCGCTGCTGGACGAGGATCCGTACGAATATTAAATTATCTCACACAAATATCGTGCACTATTTGAACTCGTGACGAGGTTGCGTCTACAGACCCCGAGCACATATAAGGATGACAACGCATATTTCCGGCGAGAGTCGGCCAAGTGGACGAGTCCGAGCTCTTTTGCAAGCGATGCCGAAATTGTTTGTGCATCATGAGGCGGTAGCCAGCACTGCGTAGTACTTATCGATGGTGATGCACGATTCAGCTTCGTCTTATGACGTTTGGATTCGTGCATATGACTGCTGTTCGGTTTACTCGATTGGGGATAATGCCACTGATGCAGCTGCTACATTCGAACTCGCAGTGTGCTTCATTGCGAGTCCGGGTACTTCACGTCCTGCAAGAGCTGTGCACGATACTGGACGTCATGCTACCTCTGCAAATCTCTGGCTGCTGCTGACAGGCGGAGCGCGCCAAGCACATCTTTGCGTTTCGGATGTGTACGTGCTACTTACTGCATGCACTGGATGCGGTGTTGTGTGTAAGCAGTTCCACGGACAAACTGGACACGCACACATTTAAGACGTCGCCTCAGTGGCGCTTGCGTGTGCGACTGCAATATGATTGAGAAATTTTGTGTCAGGCATAGCTGTGGCGTCAGAGAACGAGGCGAAAAAGTGGATATTGGACGGGAAAGCTTCGCGTAAGGTGGTGGGTGTAACAGGGTCAGCCCGTCACATGTTCTTGACATCGAAACTGGGTCAATGCGAATATATCACTCATAGCATCCTCTGACACTTATTTTACTACGTAAACCCATTGGACGAACATTGCCATCGAAGGTGACGTTCAGCAGTGCTCCACTCATTGTGTAATGCGTTTTATTTATGAATTAATCAAAGAACAAATTACTGCTAGACGCGCGCAATGGGCACGTTGCTAATCAAGGAATTCGTAGTGTCATGTAGGTGAAGTGCGGCAAAAGAGGTATATTTAAGAGTCTTGAACTATGGATTAAATGCAGTTTCACCTTTTCCCCACGAAGCGTGTTCTTCCAGTAGACCCGTCCTCTTCTGCAGGTATGGTGCACATGAGGTTACGAGGCTTCTGTCTACAATGTGGTCAGTGGAAGTATCTTGTACTGTGTCAATACAAGCATCGGATTCCCCTTACACTAGATACTTCCCAAAAATATGGAGACGACGTACGAGATCATGTGTCCCACGTAAACAGAGGTAAATGTGCGTTCTTAAGAACCGTTTTACGTGCTTTTTTCATAGATGCGTTTACAGGCATTGTATTGGTGTTGGTGCAAGTTTAAGACTCATTTAGGTAAGGACACGTGTACAATCGGGCGTAACGCACGGTAGTTTAATCGGTAGTGTTATTCATTCGGATAGCATAAATGCTCGACTCTTCCCGATGAACAAGGGTTTAGTATTCGCTTCCGCAAAGAGTCGAGCCATTGGGGTTCTGGTGTGTACGATTCACTTGTACTAACCTGACAAAAAGGTAACATCCCGTAACATTTCGGATGATGCGCGAATAATTATGAGTAGATTGTTTGGCATGCATCAATGAAGGTTAGCGACTTGTCGCTACCATCACTGACGCATCAAACAGGAAACAGACCGAATTAAGTAGAATGCAAATGAGACTGGTTCAAGAAAACATCAATCAATCATTGCGTATACGGTAAAAGAGAGAGGGGTCATGCAACATTCTACGCCGTATGTTTTGCTAGATCGACTGATTACTACCTCCACCCAGTGCCCCTCACTTCGATTGGCCAGTTCGACGATACTGTATTTTTTTTTTTTTTTTTTTTTTTTTTTTTTTTTTTTTTTTTTTTTTTTTTTTTTCTTTTTTTTTGTTTAAAAACACAAAGTTTAGAACATCAACCACGAACCGTTTACCCCCTTTTTTATCCTCGCTTTTTTTTTTTTTGAAAACAGTTGGTTTGTTGAGGCATACACCCATCAACAGATACAACGTACATGCTGTACAACAATGTCACTATGGCGCTTCAAGATCTGTTAGGCGTTTCGTGTCTGCATCATTTGCACTGTGTACGACGTTTTGGCAGCCACCGGTGATATCACTACATCGATAGATTTACGAACAGATCCAATTAAGATAGTTGCTATCAAAGATGAGTCGCACTTTCAGATCCAGCATCAGATCATGCATAAAAACAGGCCAGTCACGCTTAGGCAACATACATGTAAGCCTACACCTTACGCATGACAACCTCCAACAGCATATGCACTCAGGTGGAAACGACACATACATTACTTGTACATCGGGCGCGACCCGATCGCTCTCATTATTAAGCTGTTATCGACGTATGCCAAATTACGAGCAGATCCACACTTCTTTGTATCTTACGCCGGAGACTTCGGTGTCCGTTAATCGTAATCGTGCCTCGTCCAGTATAGACATGTGCTTCATGTTAGTTATATACATGTAACTAGGTGGGATGGTGTGGCACTGGCATACAACTGCAGAGTTTCCGACCACTCCAAGGAACGTGCGAATAGTAGCGCTCAATTGATAGCGGGACATGCGTGCGTGCTCGATCCAGAGGCAACCAAGCGATAGTCGAGAACATATATGCCACTAGAAGTGTCGCTTTTATTTTCACCCGATTCGCGCAGCTCTAGTGCACGCATCTGAGTATATACGCATCATGAGACCACGTACGACCACTGTTGCTTTGGACGGGTACAAGTTGCAGAAGTAAGAGGCTCTCGGTTGAAAAAACAGCGATGGGCGGAAAGATGTCTCGAACGAATTCTAATATATTTGTGTCGAACTCGATGCAAGATAGACTAATGTAATCACTCACGGACCCTATAGATCACGTGAATTACCTCGAGCCAGTGCAACATCGATGAGACGAAGAAGGGTAGCTCGAGAATTAGCAGGCCATTATTGTAAAGCTGTCTCGGGTGATGGATCGCAAGGCTATCGAATGCATTCCGCCAAAGGTGGCAAGCCGTGTTTTGTCGTCTCTTACCACGTACTCTGACATCACACACACAGAGTACGTCAGGGCGTCGAGTAAACGCTGACTCGGTGATGTCGCATTGGTGGTTTGATGCTGCCATGGAACTACGTTCCATCACGGATATGTATGGTGCTACCGAATCTGCTGTTAAAAGTTCCGTTATATTCCGAGCACGTGCCACACGATTCGGTGAAAGGGTTAATCAGGACCTTAACGACAGTTTTTGGCTTCATTATACGTAGTACATGAATACACTCAGTACATCTCTGTCAGCCTGGTCAAACTTGCCTATAGGTTTTGTGTTGCGGAGCTACTGTGGCTCGTTTTGCCAGAAAAATCTTTGACTTGACGAGCTGCTTCTTTCTGCACAAGAACACGACTCAACGAGTCTACTTCGCTCAATGAGCTTCTAGTCATGTTATAAGGGACTTCTACGATTCAAAGAATCAACAGCACAAGTGCTAACAAGAATATGCCATAACAAGCCTTTTCACTACTGTGATCAAAGACGCCTTGGCAAGGCACATGTCGTATGCAGATCAAAAATGCGGATTGATGTAAATTGAATATTTATAATACGGAGATAAATTGTGCATAATTACTAGCATGTAAGACTATCCTTCTGTCAAAATAAAACCTGAAACGTACCATTGATAGCTATAACGGCACTAATTTGAATGGGTGGTACAACACATGATAAATATGCCTATGCCATAGATGTAACACCACAGTTTACCACCTTAACAAAATTCGTTTTGATCACTGCTAATGCTCAACGATCTAGCATCGCTTTTCATTTAGCGGCGCGTTCAGATCTGCCAGACAGCTTGTATCCGTTGCAAGTTTACCAAGCATCTATGTACACACCTTAACCGCCCTCAGACAAACCAATGCACCCTTTCTGTAACGGGGCGATCCCGTTACATAAAAATTGATTGAAAGTATCAATTTTTGAGTATTATCGATTTGGATAATATTAAATCAACATCACTCGAGAAGAGGTAATGTTGTCGGAATATTACCCCCAAGGCTAATATTCGTGGGTGCTCCATTTCTTGGTTGATGTAATATCTACATCACCCAAATCAACCACCAATCGCTGCTGGACGCGCGCAATGGGTGGTGTGC